GACCAGACAATCCAGTGATTGATATCATGAGCATCGATCCACGCACTTGGGATCGATGACATGCATCAACCAAGTCAGCGAGTCTGATCACCCTATCCCGTTAGTCGCCTTTTACGACAAGCATAGTCACCTTTTATGGCAAGCATGGGTTGCTGAAGACCTATTCTACCCCGGAATTAACAGTGAACCAAAGAAATCGGCAAGGAAACGTTCATATTGAGATGAGACAATGCACTGTAGACAACTGCCTGTAAAAGGTGGAGCCTGTAGCAAGATTCGACGCCGTCGTGGAATGTTAACACGCAATGAACCAATTAGGGGTTTACCACTCTATAGAATCCATCGATCACGAAAAGAATTCTGGCAGTCCTGGACCATTGTTTTTGGCGAATGTGGGATTCGAACTTACAACCACCTTGGGTAACAAAGGGGCAAAATCCTGCAGAGCGACTTGTTGCTCCTTACACCACTGTTTCCAGGACAGTAGCATCATAAACAAATTAATTTAATTAATAAATTTAAAGTAGTTTGATAGTAATCAAATGTATAATATATTTGAATAATTTGCATTCGTTTCCACTGACTGATGACCTTTTCAAATGAAGAAAGCCAAGTGAGACAAATGTCTCATCACGTCTAGTCTCGCCTTTTCTCGTATTACACAATTACTGAATCAGCGCTGTCTCCGACTTTGACAAATATCACCGGGAACTGCATATGTTTCCGACAGAAACTACTCTTATCAAACAAGCAGAAGTCGGCGAAGAAAAAGTAATTCGACATTGCATGGCATATTTACCCATCATGCAGAAGAGTCCTTCTTCTGTCCAGACAAGAGTCTCAGAAGCAATTGATTTTACAGTTCGTTGTACGAGAACCGTCACTTGACGTTTCCTTTCCACCCAAAGCCTTTTACGACGTTGGCGCGCCAATTTCCGACACTTTCAGAGTCTAGTTGTACAAGACACAAACCGGATGTCACTGGCCCGCCCAAGCATGCGACAAGGAGACCGACTCTCGATTTTCGTAAATGTTTTCCAAGATGGCGACACTCTCTCTTGACGGATTGATTACCTGACAAATGTTCATTACGTGTCCTGGCGAAGACTTCAATTGTTAGTCATTTTCTTCATGGTAACCGACCGGCTGATTGTCGGGCGCCTCTGGGTCATATCAAACTTTCTTCAGACCTACTGACCCACGTTGTCAGTGTCGGATGACGTCTTGTCCATTTTCAATACAGAGCGGACAACAACGTGTCGTCTGCAGCTGCCTGAATCCACAAATCAATGTACATATTACTATTTTGAATTGCATATTGAGTTTGGAAGGTCAAAAAGTGAATATTCTTCTTGAGGGAGACAACTCGCTGCAATGTCGAAGGTGATCAAATCAGACGCCACTCGCGATGCTGGTTATATTAAACTTTATATCGAAAGGGATTTAAGGCCATGAATGAATGATGTTTCTCATCTCCACCCAAACGCTACACATGGGATGAAATGGGGTTTAACGTCACGTTCAAGATTATTACACGTATAGCGACGTGCATGTTAGGGTGTGTGGCTGCTTATATTAGACCGGACTAATGCCGGTTTTAAAGAACTAGCCAACTGTGATACCATGCCGAAGTTTAACATGGATACTCAAGTATTCAATCCTTTGTTTTATCCGCTTACTGCCGAACGCCAGGCAGGGTAACAGCAAGTACCATCTTTTAACATGTTTTGGTATGACGCAACCAGGGGAATGGAACCACAGACCTTCAGCTTCTCGGGACGAGACTCCATGCATTGACGTGAGTGAGTGAGTATGGTTTTACGCCGCTTTTAGCAATTTTCCAGCAATATCACGGCGTGGGACACCAGAAATGGGCTTCACACACTGTACCCATGTCGGGAATCGAACCCGGATCTTCGGCCCCCCATTACACTAGACCACGGAGGCGGTCCCAAACGCTACAAGGGAGAAATTGAATGTTGCCTATCGCCCCACTCATTCCACGGCGACCAGTTAATAATTTAGTCTGGTCCTAAAAATACAGTGCCGATCCATGCCATCGGGGCACAATGACACGTAATCAGTCAATTCACAGCCTGACCACCCGATCCCCTTATTAGCCCACTCGTACGTCCAGTATGAGCTTGGGTTACTGGAGACATAATCTGACCCAAACCCTAGTATTTTATACTCATTTATGATATTTTTAGGTGAAAGACGCCTATCCCTTATTCCATTATAACGGCAGTGCGTTTTAGTACTTTTCCATTTTTATCGACCGCATATGTTAATGTTTGTGGTTTATATATTTTAAGGTAAAAAAAAAATATACGCCCTTCCTACACATGTTTATTTTACAAAATCCACGAATTACATCACGACTTCATCAGCTCAACGTTTATTTTAGACGATGTTAGGTCATGGTTCCGTCATAGATCCATTATGAAGCATGATTTGACAGCCATACAGTAAACTACGTTTATAACGAACACGCTTAAAACAACTGACGGATATAACGAACTGTCTTTTTGGGTCCCGTAAATTTGCTGTATATATACTGAAAAACACGCGTATTACGAACTACGGCTATAACGAACTAGAATTAGAGCTCTCTTTGAGTTCGTTATAACCGTAGTTTACTGCAGTCGAATAAATGGTTATGTCCGATAAGACGAAGTGGTTTTATTGTCATTTTATTTTAACCAGTTCTTTCTAATGGTCACGCTGCCATGTTCCGTTGGGGACCTATTCTGTCTCTTTGCCCTACACCACACGAGTAAAAGTCAATGTGAACACACTACGTTGAAATATGTAGTGGGAGTTTTGGTGTATTTTACGAGTGTTTCTTTCCATTTGAGTGTTACAAACTGGACAGGTGAGCTACTATTCCTGCTAATCCGAGTGTCAGTCTGATATCTATCGGCGGGTGAGTTACTCCCGTCGCACTGACTTCCACTGTGATTCTATGTAAGATGATCAAATCATTTTGGTTGTTTTGATATGGTTTGGGCCGCAGCTTGTCGGCAAAATTTCAGCCTTATCATGGTGGGCTGAACATATTGGAGATAGCCGAACCAGTGGTTGAGAACGTTCATAAGAAACAATTCCCGTTGTCTCGTGCGATCACACACCATTATTTAAGGTGGCTCTTACGCCAAAAATGAGCAGCTTTGTACGTATTCTTCCCTGGAGTACCCACGGGGGTAAACATTAGTAAGAATGGTAACAACGATGTGAACTGGAGCGATGGGTGTGTGGCGCATTTTACGGGTGTTTCTTTCACTTTGCTTGCCGCTTGCACTAGGTCATGTGACAGGCTTCTCTGGTTGATACGCCGGGATACTGCCATTGCAATGTGTGAGTGAGTGAGTATGGTTTTACGCCGCTTTTAGCAATATTCAAGCAATATCACGGCGGGGGACACCAGAAATGGGCTTCACACATTGTACCCATGTCGGGAATCGAACCCGGGTCTTCGGCGTGACGAGAGAACGCTTTAACCACTAGGCTACCCGACCGCCCCTCCATTGCAGTGTGTGAGTTGCTGTAATGCCAACTTTATTTCGGTTCTACGAAGGCATTCCAGCTTAATTTGGGAACGGGTAAGGTAAACTCAAACCATGGGTAATAATTAGGGCGATTCGGTGATAAAGAACCACAGTCAGCTGCTCCTGGAACGGCCAAGGGATGCAAGTCATCATAAGACAGCCTACGCAACCAACAAGTCACAGACAACCATCACAATCATAACAGTCGAAGACAACCAACACAACCATAATAGCCACGTACAACCAACAAAGCCACGTCAGTATAACACAACCGGCACAACCATAACAGTCACATACAACCAACACAACCAACAAGTCACAGACATCCATCACAACCATAACAGTCACAGATCACCAACATAGCAAACAGTCAGTACTATTCTGACACAATCACGTTCTATTAAGTGACGGAGAGAGGTGTTGAATCAAACTGAAAGATCGGACTATAATGAGCGGGACTGCTTGTACTGCGAGGCGTGATTGAGTGAGTGGGTTGTGTTTAACGCCGCTTTTAACAGTTTTCCAGTCATATCCGGGTGTGTCAGCTTAATGTGGTTGGAAAGCAGGTCTTAGACGGTTACCATTTTGTAAAACCCACGAGCACGGGTATGGTGCTGACAAACCAAGAAACATAATCGGGACGAACCGGGATTTGAACTCACAATCATAGGTTTCTGGCATGTGCAAGGGAAACAGCTCCGCCACCCATTGATATGTTCTGAGTCTCACATAGAAAGACTTGACCTAAAGAGTTTAAAATGAATTTGTGAAACAAAATCCCCTTCCACACTGATACAATTTTGACAACGATGTTGGGGGGATTTTATCCCAGTTTCCTAGAAACTATCATTTGCCCGTCTGTGATCACCATATCGGAGAATCTCTGGATTATGTCTGGTGTATTGGCCTTTCAGGAAGGTGGTCGTCTTCAAGGCTCCCCTTGCCACGTTTAAACTCAGCTGCCCACCTCTTTACGGTAGCATAGGACGGGGCATCCATCCCTAGTGTTGTACCATGGATTGCTGTTGCAAGTACTTCATCACTGTGCCACCATTCTCCAAAAGTCACAGACTTCTGCTTACTTTATTGACTTGTCATAACATTTGCTTAATTGACTTATGGTGGAGGTACCCCTATCACATCATGTAATGTCCACAACAAAATATTTCACCATTAAGCAATTCAGTTTTTGCGGGGCTCAGAACCACCTATCAGTCAACCATGTACAAAGTGTGAACATCAATTGACCTGATCACAACCCAAGATATTAAAATGACCACGCAGTGACATGCCCGGGTCATCAATAAACATGATGAGGTCAGCAAAACTGTCCTGGTGGGGGACGTGTCCTGCGAACTAATCAAATTAAAAATTAATTACCTTCCCATATCCGTACCACGGACATCTATATATATGTAGTATGTTTTGAATAGAAATATTCCAAACATTTTTGTCAAACAGTATCACCATATTGACAATGTGGCTGACAATACTGATACTCTTTTCCTATGGACTCTTCGGGACAACAGCCAAGGCTGGGAGTCTTGACTACACTATACCGCACAGGTGAGTTACTTTGAAAACAGTTTAAAGTAAAACCTCGTTAACCCAGACTTTAGATTCAGAAATTGTCTGGGACTTAATGACTAATCATGATCATTTATTTATTCAGAATGTAATTTATTTAGGAGATGTGTGTTTTGAAATTTGATGTGGTCCCACTGTGAACAAAATTTGGTTCCACGCGCATGTAAGTCCGGCGGAACTTTCACTTCCAACATTTGTTCCTTTGGAGGTGCATATCACATCAAGTTTTGCACCCTGTCACACACACACACACACACACACACACACACACACACACACACACACACACACACACACACACACACACACACACACATATGTCAGTAAATCGGATGACATCACTAATCAGGTGTTATGCATTAATGCGCTACAGCAATCATGAGATAGACAAAATATGCATCGATCCAATACAAATGGTGCGAGTTTAGGGTTTGTAAAAAACAGATAACTGCGCTCGTTTGATACCTTTTGAATTGCTCCTTATAACAGAAATAGTATCTGACAGCCGCTCAGGTAGTAATCTCTTCATCCTATTAGAATAATACAATGTGTGATTATCAGTCTCACTAATCTCAGACAGCGTAAGGATCGCTGTAACAGTATGCCATGTTATCGACCAAGCCCCCTCTATACCAACCCGGTATATCTATAATACATATGGGGGCACGGGTGGCCCAGTCGTCTAAAGCGCCGAGATTCGCTGTGCAGAGTTGCGTCCCTTGGGCACGCCAGAAACCTATAATTGTGGGTTCGAATCCCGGTTCGCCCCAATTATGTTTCTAGGTTTGTCAGCACCATACCCGTGCTTGTGGGTTTCAGTGAAGTGGTAAACGTCTGAGACCTGCATCACTTCGGGCTTTCCTCCCACATTAAGCTGACACGCCGTGATATAACTGGAATGCTGTTAAAAGCGGCGTTAAACCCAACTCAATCACTCACTATACCAAGCCTCCCCTCCCCACGTGGGGATTGCGAGTTAGAATATAGGTCCCACCTATTCTGGTCGGGTGGTCAGACTCAGTGACTTGGTTGATGTCGTGTCATAGTATCCCGACGGAGACCATGGATCGTTGCTCACAATATCAATCACTGGATTCTACCGATTTACTCGATTATTTGCAGTTCACCGTCACATAGCTGGAATATTGTTTTGTGCACCCTTAATATTTTCAGACGCTTTGACAGTAGACCACCAGTGGATCCTCGCTGTAAACGCCCATTCGACCAACATTACTGCTTCGACGGAGAGCCGATGGCAACGTTTAATAACGACGACGTCATCGTGATTTATAGCATGACGGGCAATGGAGGCCCGGTGCCAGGCATCGACCTTGTGGTGAGAACACTGTGTTATTTCTCAACAAACCCACTCCAAAAAGTACTCCATGCATGTTGTCCTCGAGACAGAAGCGGTCCAAAGTGTCCAGTGCTTGCACTAGCCTGTGAGTTCAGGTATAATAGACACCCAGTAGTGCTTGTCTACCAATAGTGAATCTGTGAATGACAGATACACAATGGACCATGTATAAGCACCACACCATGTAAATGCCCGTGTGTAAGGCTCATCCTTTACTGTGCACCCACAGCCATGAATAACCCCACTCCCCTTTCCGTGAGGTAAAAGACCCCTTTAAATAAGGCCGACCATTTGATATTTTGGGGTTAATCTGTTCCCGAACATTTTGGGGGAAAATAATCAGTCCTCAGGTTTTACCCAAACAGTGTGCTGATTGTGTGTCGCCGTACCCAGATGCTGCTCTTTGTTGTTTGGCGACTATTGTTTTGTCGACTCTAACCTCTATCCATGATATACCCAAATTTTATTTTTTTTAAAACAACTCACTCACTCCAGATACCTCAACACGCTGGTATCGGTCTGCACAACCTCAACACCGGCTTCAAATACACCTTGGACTGGTCCCCAATGTTCGGCCCCTTCAACTGCTCCCAACCCAATGTGTTGGAGGGTGAGTCTCTCCTTTGGTGTAACCAAGCAGAGTCGTGCTTCAGGAGCAAGTTTACCAAGCCCTTCCTAAAGCCAAGAGCAGAGCGCCATCAGGTGGCGAACACAACCGGTAGGTCCACAAGGTCCACGACGGCGCCACCATTGCCATTGCACCAAATATGCCTGTCAGTAAACTGTTGAGTGGTTCTGCGATCCAAATGACATGCTTGTGTTTTCAGCTTGAAAATGGTATGTGAAGGAATATCATCAACTCAGTTGTTTTCAGTTATTATGAAGTCTATAAATTTGTAATCGAAACATCTTTCCAGGCAAAGTCATCAATGCCTTCGCTCTCTGGGTCACGTGGGACAACAATACCGGCATCTATGGCGACTCGTCACACCTGATGCGTTCCAGAGGTGAGTTAGGAAGCATACAGCAATACCATACGTATGATCACGTCATGAGCATCAGAGTGAGCGAGTGAGTATGGTTTTACGCCGCTTTTAGCAATATTCCAGCAATATCACGGCGGGGGATACCAGAAATGGGCTTCACACATTGTACCCATTTTGGGAATCGAAGCCGGGTCTTCGGCGTGACGAGCGAACGCTTTAACCACTAGGCTACCCGACCGCCCCCATGAGCATCAGAGGACAGGATAAACTGACTAAATCTGGATAAGGCTGGCTTAGTATGTTTGTTTGTTTGTTGTTGTTTAACGCCGCTCTCAGTAATATTCCAGCTATATGATGGCGGTCTGTAAATGATCAAGTCTGGACCAGACAATCCAGTGATTGACATCATGAGCATCGATTATTGCAATTGGGATCGATGATCGAGCCTGACCACCCGATCCCGTTAGTTGCCTCTTACGACGAGCATAGCATTTACGGCAAGCATGGGTTGCTGAAGATCTATTCTACCCCGGATCTTCACGGGTCGGCTGAGTATGAAGACCATGCTCCTCAAAGCCCGACTCCTGGGGCTTGGCTCCCGATTACCACGTCAGAGCCTCTGTGAAGTCTCTATCAGATTGCCACAGGAACCACTGAAGACCAAAGAAGAAATATAACGACAACGTGAAAGGTCTCAAGTACCTAATCATCTCACCTTAAGAACTTGATACTTGCGCTGAGACAGGCCAAACTGACGCTCAATAAGGAAGGATGCATGCATGTATTTCCTCAAATCGTGTTGGCCAGAGACCGAAGAAAGACACGCACGCACGCACGCACGCACCCACACACGCACACCCGACAGCGTCCTACCCCTGCCTTCATAGCCATCGGGTCTGTGGCTAGGGGTCAGGCTGTCTATCCACGTCCGAACTCACACAATTAAAAACACAATTGACATCCTCTTCTTCTACATGGTTAATTCATTGCGTATAATCACGCCATGGATTAGCGGAACTAAACACTTGATGTCATTATATCGATACATATTAAGCAAAATATACTAGGAGATGGAGTTCGCGAGAGACTCAACCCCCACCGCCTCCACAGTACAGTTAGTAAATGAGTGAGTTTGGTTTTACGCCGCTTTTAGCAATATTCAAGCAATATCACGGCGGGGGACACCAGAAATGGGCTTCACACATTGTACCCATATCGGGAATCGAACCCGGGTCTTCGGCGTGACGAGCGAACGCTCTAACCACTGGGCTACCCGACCGCCCCCTCCACAGTATAACAACACAAAGAGCGTAGAATGATGTTTCTCTATATCTACGTTTCATGTATGCTTTTCTAATGTGAGTAAAAATGCCACTTGTTAAACGTGGACCAGGTTGTAATACTCTGAAAAATAACACTATTTTATACTTAAACTTGCTTTATCTAGATAAATATCTGGATATTTTTCTAGTCTTGTTTATTCAATGTTTGCATACTCTGAAAAAAATTCTCATCCGTGTTGAGAAATACACCCAAACGTGGTTAGTTTTCTTTCAAAGCCCTGGCCATGGGTAGCTTACAGCCGCAGATTGCAGCCGAGTGGCGTCCCTTGACCGTTCCAGGATCTGCTGGGCGTTGGTTCGAGTCACATATTCGCCTTGATAATGACTCTTGTTCTGTCAGCAGACGTGGTGATCCTCTACGACTTCACACCTCGGGGATTTCCTCCTCTATTAAGCTGACTCCGTGATATAAGAGATACATAAATATATATTTGAAATCGGCGTTACACCAAACACACTCACTTCCATTTAATTTCAGATGGTCCATATTGGACAGAGACCTGGGATTGTGGCACCTTTGTGCAGCGGGCATTTCAAGCCCTTTATGATCTAGGCGTGAGGTTCTATCCCGACTTTCAACCCTCCTACTGGCTGGGCATCGCCTACACGGAGAGGCCTGAATATCTGGGCAGCCACACGGAGATATTCGGTGTTGACGGAGACGCAGCCTTGGCCCAGACTCTGATGTCATACTTCAAGGCGGACAAAAAAGATCTTGACTATATGTACCTACATTACAATGAAGCGTACTGGTATGCTAAGTTCACGTCTCAAGCTCCAGAAGTGCCTACCAAAATGGTAGTTCCGCTACCGGGGTATGAGTAGACCATTTGGCAGAGGGTGAGGCTGAAGTTGTTGCAGTAACTTAAAAGACTAATTTAGAGATATTTTCCAAATCGTTTCATGTTTTCAATCAAGGTGATCAAGTGTTCTGATGCATTTCGCAAGTTGAGACCCGTTTTATTACAAAAACGATCTTGATTATCGATCAGATCGCCTTGTCTGGGTGCCGCCATTTTTTGTTTGAAGCAAATACCAATGATATGAGAGGTGGGACTTGATTGGTCAGTAGGGCGGACATAATTCGTAACAGCCACTGGTGGCGCTACGATCGAGCCACGCAATCCCAGCAGTTCGGGAAGTGAGGAAACCGGACTTTTACAGTCAGTTCCCTTGCCTCGGGAAGATGAGTAATTCCAAGTTTCAACCGTTTTGGTTCTTCTGTTCAAAATACCACCAAATACCAATAAAATACTTATTTGTGATGTCTGTTTCTTTTGTTTTGTTAGCGGCTCTTACCAGCATGTGTTGCTGTAGATCATTTCTAACCCGGATCTCCAGGGGGCAATTGTATCCGTTTAACTGTTCAACAGATAAAAGGTCTGTGAAGTCGAAGCCAGTCTCCACTCTCATCCTGACAATACACACCAAATGGCCTCCCCGTCGACTATATTAAAAGATCGATTTTGGTTATTCCCTTCAAAATATCAATAAAATGCTTAGATGTCGTATTTGTGTGTATTTTCGGGGATACTTCTTGGGTAGGGCCTTGTGCTGTTAGCCCCTGAATTTGAAAAAAATGCTCACATTTTGAAATACAATGGGGCATTTTAACATTGTGCTGTATGGGCAAGTGTGGGTGTACCTCCCTCTGGAATATTTTAAAATTTTAACATAAAGAGCCCACATCAGACACTCCCTAGAGTGAATCCTGTAATCAGCACTCATCATTCATCATCAGAGACTAAGCATTAGTCTAGGGATATATATTCTTACCAGGAATCCCCAAAGGCCCATTCCCGTCTGTTGTGGGTGGTGTGCGAGTTTGTGTTAAGAATGGTCCCCAGCAACCTCTGCTTGTCGCACGAGACGACTTAATGGGTCGGATGGTCAGGCACACAATGACAAAGCATGACATTCATAGACAACCATGACATCCATACACAATCATGACAGACATAGACAGACATAGACAGCCATGACGTTCATAGACAACCATGACATTCACATACAACCATGGCATTCATAGACAGCCAAGCCATTCATAGACAACCATGACATTCATAGACAGTCATGACATTCATAGACAGTCATGACATTCATAGACAGCCATGACATTCATAGACAACCATGACATACACATACAACCATGACAGTCATAGACAGCCATGACATTCATAGACAACCATGACATCCATATACAATCATGACAGTCAAAGACAACCATGACAGTCATAGACAACCATGACATTCATAGACAACCATGACAGTCATAGACAGCCATGACAGTCATAGACAGCCATGACATTCATAGACAACCATGTCAGTCATAGACAACATGACATTCATAGACAACCATGACAGTCATAGACAACCATGACATTCATAGACAACCATGACAGTCATAGACAGCCATGACATTCATAGACAACCATGACAGTCATAGACAGTCATGACATTAATAGACAACCATGACAGTCATAGACAGTCATGACATTCATAGACAGCCATGACATTCATAGACAACCATGACATTCATAGACAGTCATGACATTCATAGACAGCCATGACATTCATAGACAACCATGACATACACATACAACCATGACAGTCATAGACAGCCATGACATTCATAGACAACCATGACATCCATATACAATCATGACAGTCAAAGACAACCATGACAGTCATAGACAACCATGACATTCATAGACAACCATGACAGTCATAGACAGCCATGACAGTCATAGACAGCCATGACATTCATAGACAACCATGTCAGTCATAGACAACATGACATTCATAGACAACCATGACAGTCATAGACAACCATGACATTCATAGACAACCATGACAGTCATAGACAGCCATGACATTCATAGACAACCATGACAGTCATAGACAGTCATGACATTAATAGACAACCATGACAGTCATAGACAGTCATGACATTCATAGACAGCCATGACATTCATAGACAACCATGACATTCATAGACAGTCATGACATTCATAGACAGCCATGACATTCATAGACAACCATGACATTCATAGACAGTCATGACATTCATAGACAGCCATGACATTCATAGAAAACCATGACATTCATAGACAACCATGACAGTCATGACATTCATAGACAACCATGACATTCATAGACAGTCATGACATTCATAGACAGCCATGACATTCATAGACAACCATGACATTCATAGACAACCATGACATTCATAGACAGCCATGACATTCATAGACAACCATGACATTCATAGACAGCCATGACATTCATAGACAACCATGACATTCATAGACAGTCATGACATTCATAGACAGCCATGACATTCATAGACAACCATGACATTCATAGACAACCATGACATTCATAGACAACCATGACATTCACATACAACCATGACATTCATAGACAGCCATGACATTCATAGGCAACCATGACATTCATAGACAACCATGACAGTCATAGACAACCATGACATTCATAGACAACCATGACAGTCATAGACAACCATGACATTCATAGACAACCATGACAGTCATAGACAGCCATGACATTCATAGACAACCATGACATTCATAGACAGTCATGACATTCATAGACAGCCATGACATTCATAGACAACCATGACATTCATAGACAACCATGACATTCACATACAACCATGACATTCATAGACAGCCATGACATTCATAGACAACCATGACATTCATAGACAACCATGACAGTCATAGACAACCATGACATTCATAGACAACCATGACAGTCATAGACAACCATGACATTCATAGACAACCATGACATTCATAGACAGCCATGACATTCATAGACAGCCATGACATTCATAGACAACCATGACATTCATAGACAACCATGACAGTCATAGACAGTCATGACATTCATAGACAGCCATGACATTCATAGACAGCCATGACATTCACATACAACCATGACATTCATAGACAGCCATGACATTCATAGACAACCATGATAGTCATATACAACCATGACAGACATATAAAACCATGACAGACATAGACAACTATGCCATTTATATACAACCATGACAGTCACATACAACCAAACCCGTGAAGATTTCGGTTAGAATTTGTCTTCAGCAACCCATGCTTGTCGTTAAAGGCGACAAATGGCATCTGGTGGTCAGGCTCGCCGACAAGATTCATGCATGGCATCGTATCCCATTTGGGTAGATCGATGTTCACTGGATTGTCTGATCAAGGCTTGATCATTTACAGACAGTCGTCTATCACATAGCTGGAATATTGCTGTGTTCGGCGTCCAACAAATAAACAGCACATACTACCAACAGTCTCACAAATCAGACAACCAAAGTCAGGAACACGTGACACCTTTTTTATAGATATCAGCTTCTTTATTCTTTATTCAGGACGACTTCTCGGCCCTCACGTCGTAAAGTATCCGCCAATGCAAACCTCCCACCTGTTGTTGTTATTGACTCCACGGATTATGCAGATATGTGGGGTCAATTGTCAGGTCATGACTTTTTGTAGGTTGATACATTGAGATTTTGAATAACTTCAGCATGTTCAGTGCTAATAGCAGCTAAATTGCTGACAAGGTGCTCAGCAATAATCACACACTCATTCAACTGAATACCTTTTTAAATAGTGTTACCAAAGCAATAGTGTTTAAACATGTTATCTGCCAAGATTATGTTAATCTTGTCCATGGTCTAAATAGGTTTTAGCACCCATGGAATCGCATCGATGAATTTGTTGAGGTTCTTTTGCATAAATCACATCAGAACACATGTCTGTTCCTTTCATCTGGCAAACAAAATGAGACACATATTTCGTATTAAGATATTTATTCATGTCACTGATGATGTTCCACACAGAACCACGTGCCTGTTTAGTCACGCCCCCATGCGAGGTTGTACCTCCAAGGGCGTGGCCATCACCTACCAAACCTTCAAGGAGCGTTAGACGCAGTGCCATGTGACCTATTAACCACACACCCTACGAGACCACATATACCTACAAGGGCGAGCCATCATCTACCACGCCTACAAGGGCGTGGCCAAATAGGGATAAAAAACTGTTCCACAACATCACATGAAGGACATGCAACTGCTTACATGACAACTAAATACAACTAAATACATCTTTGTAGGCAAAAAAATATTGGAAGAACTGTGTCATAACATTGAACAAGTAAATGGACAGTCAACTGTAAATATATACTCAACAACAAAAGTTCCTGTGACACCAATGGCTGTTTTGAAACAATTATCTGTCCAGGTTGAAAATCCAATTAATCCACTTCTAATTAAACTCAATAAAAACCAAATGAGAGGTAGGAACATAAATCAGTCAAAATAGTACAGAAAAATAGTCATGAACAATTTCCCAGGTCTTCTCATGAATACCAACTAAGCACTTCATATTTCACAGGTGCACAGTGCGAGCATATGGAGTATATGTCATGTGACAGCTGGAAGAAGGCATCAGAGAGTCAGGGAACCATCTCAAAGGACATGGGCTTTGTCAGATCTGGATGTATACGATTTATATAATATAAACCTGGACTTTGTATCATAGATATGATTAATATACTGTACAAAAACCATTGTGCACATTAAGCAACGAGGAATAATAGTCATATATCGAAATGCCTCTGCGTGCGTGCGTGCGTGCGTGCGTGCGTGCGTGTGCGTGTGTGTGTGTGCGTGCTTGTATGTGTGTACTAGTCCGGGTGTGAAGTTTGGGTTTACGCCGCTTTTAACAGTATTCCCGTTATATCACGGCGTGTCAGTTTAATGTGGTAGGAAAGCACGAAGTGATGCAGGTCTTAGACGTTTACTTCGGTGAAACGAGCACGGGTCTGGTGCTGACAAACCTAGAAACATAATCGGGGCGAACCGGGATTCGAACCCACAATCATAGGTTTCTGGCGTGTCCAAGGGACTGTACTAGTCCGGACTCATGCCGATTTATAGTACTAGCCCACTGAGATATCATGCCGCAGTTTAACGTGGATACTCCACTCACAGTATCCTGACTCCGAGCCGACAAGTCCTTGTTTTAGCCGCTTAATGCCGAGTGCCAGACAGGGTACCATCTTTTAACGTCTTTTGGTATGAAGCGGCCGGGGATCGAGCATCGGCCCTCCTACTCTTCGTGCGGGCGCTCTACTAGACCACGGAGGCGGTCCATTTTCCAAAAGTCAAAGACTTCTGCTTACTTTATTGACTTGTCATAACATTTGCTCAAATGACTTATGTTTTAGTGGAGGTACCCCTATCACATCATGTAATGTCCACAACAAAATATTTCACCATTAAGCAATTCAGTTTTTGCGGGGCTCAGAACCACATATCTGTTAACCATGTACAAAATGTGAACATCAATTGACCCGATCACAACCCAAGATATTAAAATGACCACGCAGTGACATGCCCGGGTCATCAATAAACATGATGTGGTCAGCAAAACTGTCCTGGTGGGGGATGTGTCCTGCGAACTAATCAAATTAAAAATTAATTACCTTCCCATATCCGTACCATGGACATCTATATATATGTAGTATGTTTTGAAAAGAAATATTCCAAACAATTTTGTCAAACAGTATCACCATATTGACAATGTGTCTGACAATACTGATACTCTTTTCCTATGGACTCTTCGGGACAACAGCCAAGGCTGGGAGTCTTGACTACACTATACCGCACAGGTGAGTTACTTTGAAAACAGTTTAAAGTAAAACCTCGTTAATCCAGACTTTAGGTTCACGGTGAAATTGTCCGGGACTAAATGACTAATCATTCTAATAAAAAAACAGCTCTATATATTCAGAATGATTGTACTACAAAATAATATCACAAACTGTATTTTATTTAGGAGATAAACCTGGTGAATTTTGATATTTGATGTGGTCTCACTGTAAACCAGATTTGGTCCCTTCCCCATATAAGTTCCGGCGGAACTTTTACTACCAACATTTGCTCCTCTGGAACATCAAGTCTTGGTTCCTATCACACTGAAATTTGTTCCGGACATACGGAAACTTTCACACACAAAGGTTCTATCTTGTGAAACTGTCAAGAGTCTAAAAGAGAGAAGAGAGAAAGGGTACATGAATTTTAAGCATGGAACAAATACTTGCAAAATATTTTTTCCGGTCGGAACAAATGCTCTTTGTTGGAAATTTCCTATTTGACATGTCCTTTAACATATAATATATCCATGTTACCATGTTTAAAAATTCTTATTTCCGGTGCGATATCTAAGTCTTCAGGATACTTCATCACCTCAGCCCTGGTATTCACTGGCGACTGCCTTTTTGTGTAATTTACTTGACATAAATACAGTCATTTCATAGGTTTTAATTACATGTTTTCACATTTGCATTTATAATTAATCAACTATCAGGATTTCTTTCATGCTTTCCTTTTTATTCATATTCTTTTGTTTTTCTTTTAGATTATGTTTATTTGTATTGCGAGTGTATGTCTTAGTTTCGCTGATATTTCATATTGCATATTAATAATATACAGGAATGTCGCTCATAAACAATCCCAAACATTTGTTCCCGTCAACTGGAAATTTTCACTACAGGGTGGGAATATTTTCACTGCTATTTTGAGCATTTACTAGTAATCCTGATATTTTTTCCGAGACGGGACTAAATTTGGGCGGAACAAAAAACATGCTTACACCATTGTAGAGTTGATTCACCACTGAAGTCACAGCTCATAAACATGAACATAACAACTAACACAAGGGATCTGATTTGACCTGTCAATTTCAAGATTTCCCGGATTTGACGCCAGTGTGTGAAATAATGGTGACATTTGTGGCCCAGAAACTGTGGTTCGTGTATGATTTGCTTATCTGTGTGTGTTCTGAAACGAACATGTTGTCATGAATAAAGCTTTTTCAAACATTTTTGTATTTAAGATATAAACGGCGAGTGGGAGTTGTTAATCATACAATAAAACACTGCAAGGAAACCCTCATTGTATGAGAAACAACGGGCCCACTCGCACAAAGCGATCTTAGCGCTAAGACTATTGTAAGCCTATGTTAAAGTATGGGCGTTACGATCATCTTTGCGCTAAGATTGCTTTGTGCAAGTGGGCCCTGGAGTCGTTTGTTTCAATACATAAGATATTAACGTTTTGTACAGTCGCTTTAAGGATGTTGATAAAATGTGCCAGCTTTACGAATATTTACCCAAATTTTAATAATAATGACTCCCTGAATAGAATCCGACCTCGAAAATGTAGGACAAGTCCATGTTACGAACAGGTGGGATAAGGTTGGTATTCCCCCGTATATTCTTACAATCCTCGTGTCGATCACCTGTACCTATTCTAATAACGATTGTCATATCTCTGTCATTTTTGGATACAATCGTTCGGCCACTGCGTGTATCTGCGAAGCCCAGCTATATTTGTTATTTTTGAGAGGGAAGTGTCTTCGTCCAATTTATGACGTCATCAAGTTGCGAGAACATATTCCAATCTCCGGAAATGACGTAATGATAGAACAATGTTTTATCATGAAATAAACTACTCCTCGTTCTTCATTGTTCTTTGCGATTTATCGCGTAGCTATCTTAAACATAAAATTATAGAAATGTCCGTGACATAGACATCATTATTGTTGGTGTTCTTTGTTTGTTGTTCAACGTCGCTCTCAGCGATATTCAAGCTTGGTTGATTTCGTCTCAACGTATCCCGACAGAGACCACGGATCGTTGCTCACAATATCGATCACTGGATTGTATCAATTGACTCGATTATTTACAGTCCACCGTCACATAGCTGGAATATTGTTTTGCGCAACATCTTAACCATTCTGGTGCATGTGCACCCTTAATATTTTCAGACGCTTTGACAGTAGACCACCAGTGGATCCTCGGTGTAAACTCCCATTCGACCAACATTTCTGCTTCGACGGAGAGCCGATGGCAACGTTTAATGACGACGACGTCATCGTGATTTACAGCATGACGGGCAATGGAGGCCCGGTGCCAGGCATCGACCTTGTGGTGAGAACACTGTGTTATTTCTCAACAAACCCACTTTTGTTGCCGATGGTGTTGGGAACAAGAGTACACCATGCATGTTGTCCTCGAGACAGAAGCGGTCCAAAGTGTCCAGTGCTTGCACTAGCCTGTGAGTTCAGGTACAATATACACCCAGTAGTGCTTGTCTACCAATAGTGAATCTGTGAATGATAGATACACAATGGACCAAGCACCACGTCGTGTGGACGCCCCATCGTTTTCCTATGCACTCACTGCCATGCATCTGTGAGGTAAACAGGGGTGGGTAGCCTAGTAGTTAAAACGTTGGTTCGTAACGTCCAAGACCCGGGTTCGATTCCCCACATGGGTACAATATGTGAAGCCCATTTTTCGGTGTCCCCTGCCGTGATATTGCTGGAATATTGCTGAAGGCGGCGTAAAACCATACTCACTCACTCTGTGAGGTAAAAGACCTCATTTCCAATGTCGACCATTTGATATTTTGGGGTTATCTGTTCCCGAACATTTTGGGGAAAATAATCAATCCTCAGGTTTTACCCAAACAGTGAGCTGATTGTGTGTCGCCGTACCCAGATGCTGCTCTTTGTTGTTTGGCAGCTATTGTCTATCCATGATATACCCAAATTACGTAAAAACGCAACTCACTCACTCCAGATACCTCAACACGCTGGTATCGGTCTGCACAACCTCAACACCGGCTTCAAATACACCTTGGACTGGTGCCCAATGTTCGGCCCCTTCAACTGCTCCAAACCCAATGTGTTGGAGGATGACTCTCTCCTCTGGTGTAACCAAGCCGGATCGTGCTTCAAGAACAAGTTTTCCAAGACCTTCCTAAGGCCAACAGCAGAGCGCCATCAGGTGGCGAACACAACCGGTAGGTCCACAAGGTCCGCCATGGCGCCTTCATTGCCACTCAGAGGCCTTAGCGCCATCTGTAGGCACCAAGCAATGAGCTAAGCTAAGCTTTTAGCTTAGCCGTGGCAAGTCTTCCATTAAGTGTCTGTAATTAAGCAAATAATCATTTACTGTCTAGTCATTATATTTTCGTCTTTTGGGGTGTTACAAATTGTTTTTAGGGTATCTTTAAGCTGGTTATGCAGTGAATCATGACAGTGATGCAAGGCCCCTTGCTCGCACTATTATATCGACGCATTTCAATGTGGACAAGTGAGAGTCATTCCATCTGGAGAAGGTTGTATATGCTATATTCTGAGGTTATCCTCTGTATAAATATTATCGACACGGTAACCCTATTTGCACAGAGGTGTGGTGAGGTGAAATAGGGATTAACGTCGCGTCCAAGATTATTGCACTTATATACCGACGTGCATGGACGTTTGTGTGTTTGTGTGGCTGCTTGTACCAGTTCGGACTGATGCCGATTGATAGTGCTAGCTTACTGAGATACCATGCCGCAGTTTAACATGAATACCCCACTCAGACACGGTTTTCTGACTCCGAGCCGACCAGTCCTTGTTTTAGCCCCTTAATGCCGAGCGCCAGACAGGGTTACAACAAGTACCATCTTTTAACGTCTTTTGGTATGACGCGGCCGGGGATCGAACCCCGGACCTTCTGCTCTCCGGGTGGACGCTCTACCATTTGACCACGGAGGCGGTCCTATTTGCACAGACAAAGTCAAGACTGTGCATGCACCAAATGTGCCTGTCAGTGAACTGTTGAATGGTTCTGCTTGTGCTTTCAGCTTGAAAATGTTATCTGAAGGAATGTAATCAACTCAGCTGTTTTCACTTATTATGAAGTCTATAAATTTGTTATGGATACATCTTTCCAGGCAAAGTCATCAATGCCTTCGCTCACTGGGTCACGTGGGACAACAATACCGGCATCTATGGCGACTCGTCACACCTGATGCGTTCCAGAGGTGAGTTAGGAAGCATACAGCAACGCCATACGTATGTACTCGTCATGGGCATCAGAGTAAGCGAGTGAGTATGGTTTTACGCCGCTTTTAGCAATGTTCCAGCAATATCACGGCGGGGTATACCAGAAATGGGCTTCACACATTGTACCCATTTTGGGAATCGAACCCGGGTCTTCGGCGTGACGAGCGAACGCTTTAACCACTAGGCTACCCGACCGCCCCTTCTAAGATTAGTGAGACCGATAATCCAACATTGTATTATTCTAATAGGATGAAGAGATTACTACCCGAGCGGCTGTCAGATACTATTTCTGTTACTAGGAGCAATTCAAAAGGTATCAAACGAGCGCAGTCATCTGTTTTTTACACTACCTAAACTCGAACTCACCGAACTCACACAATTAAGAGCACAATTGGCATCCTCTTCTTCTACATGGTTAATTCATTGCGTATAATCATGGCATGGTTTAGTAGAACTAAACACTTGATGTCATTATATCGATGCAAACTAAGCAAAATATACTAGGAAATGGGGTAGCGAGGGACTCAAACCCGGGCATTTGGCTTGACGAGAGAACGCTTTAACAATTTGGCTACCCCATCGCCCCCACACTATAACAACACAGAGAGCGTAGAATGTACATGTAATTTCTCCATATCTGCGTTTCATGTACGCTGGTGTAACGTGAGTAAATATGCCACTTGTAAAATGTGGACGTGTTTGTACTCCTCTGAAAAATTATCATTATACTTAAATTTGTTTTATCTAGATAAATACCACGATTTCTTTCTAGTCTTGTTTTTTCAATGTTTGCATACTCTGAAAAAAGTAATTTCTCATCCGCGTTGAGAAATACTCTCAGGCGTTGTTGGTTTTTTCCAAAGCCTTGGGCATGGGTAGCTAATGGTCTGAACAGCCGCAGAGTGCAGCCGATGTACAGAGTGGCGTCCCGTGACCGTTTCAGGATCCGCTGAACGTTGGTTCGAGTCACATATTCGCCTTGATAATGACTCTTGTTCTGTCAGCAGACGTGGTGATCCCTCTACGACTTCACTCCTCGGGGATTTTCTCCTATATTAAGCTGACTCCGTGATATAACAGACAGATATATATATTTGAAATCGGCGTTACACCAAACACACTCACTTCCATTTAATTTCAGATGGTCCATATTGGACAGAGACCTGGGATTGTGGCACCTTTGTGCAGCGGGCATTTCAAGCCCTTTATGATCTAGGCGTGAGGTTCTATCCCGACTTTCAACCCTCCTACTGGCTGGGCATCGCCTACACAGAGAGGCCTGAATATCTGGGCAACCACACGGAGATATTCGGTGTTGACGGAGACGCAGCCTTGGCCCAGACTCTGATGTCATACTTCAAGGCGGACGAGAAAAACCTTGACTATGTGTACCTACATTACAATGAAGCATTTTGGTATGCTAAGTTAACATCCCAAGCTCCAGAAGAGCCTACCAAAATGGTAGTTCCGCTACCGGGGTATGAGTAGAACATTTGGCAGAGGGTGAGGCTGAAGTTATAGCATTAACGTAACGTCTAATTTAGAGAGAGCAAAAGTTCCCTTTTAGAGTGATGAGCTTTTAATAAATATATTATTGTCTTTGGGGAAACTGAAAATTATTCCTTTACTCCTAATATAGTAGTAACATGACTGCCAAAAGAAAGTTGTAGTTTTTATTGTTGCAAAATGTGTTGATACGTTTATTCCTAGTTGTAGGCTTATATGAAATATTAAAATGAAATGATGTATACATTGCTATATGAAAACGGTGATAATCGGAACAGGGACATGGAACACAATGTCATGTTTTCGGTGACAAAATATACTACGCCATCCCACCACTCCTTTCGCCCTGACAATACAGGTCAAATGGTCTCCCCTCCCTATAATAATTCTTCCCCAGGCAAGGGAGTTAACTGACAATAGAAGTTCAGTTTCGACCTTTGCCGAACTAGGCTGGAATTATTTTGTTGGACTTAGTTGAACGCATTACGAAATCATAAACAACATGGCGACAGCTGTGCAGGTTTCGGTCGATTGTATGATTTGCAGAGCATGGGTACGTCCACATGGCGTCGACAGTTATTTTCCAAATCTCTTCATGTTTTAATCAAGGTCATCAAGTGATCAGATTGTTTTGACTATGCGCCGCCATTTTGTTTGAAGTAAACGCAAGTGATATGAGAGGGGGAATCTGATTGGTCAGTAGGAGGGACATAATTTCTATCAGCCACTGGTGGCGCTACGATCGAGCCACGAAATCCCAGCAGTTCGGCAAGTGAGGAAACTGGACTTTTACTGTCAGTTCCCTTGCCTAGGGAAGATGAGTATTTCCAAGTTTCAACCGTTTTGGTTCTTCTGTTCAAAATACCACCAAATACCAATAAAATACTTATTTGTGATGTCTGTTTCTTTTGTTTTGTTAGCCGCCTCTTACCAGCACGTGTTGCTGTAGATCATTTCTAACCCGGATCTTCAGGGGGCAATTGTATCCGTTTAACTGTTCAACAGATAATAGGTCTGTGAAGTCGAAGCCAGTCTCCACACTCATCCGGACAATTCACACCAAACGGCTTCCCCTTCGACTATAGTAATAGAACAGTTTTGGTTATTCCCTTCAAAATACCAATAGAATGCTTAGATGTGGTATTTTTAGTAATCAATTTCTTCATATGATGCATGCACAATTGCGGTTTGTTTGTAATTGATGGGTCGGGTGGTCAGGCTCACAATTGTGTCCAACAGACACACACATCCGACAATGCATGAGATTCATATACAACCATGACAGTCATAGACAACCGTGCATCCATATACAACCATGACAGTCATAGACAACCGTGACATCCATATACAACCATGACAGTCATAGACAGCCATGACAGTCATAGACAACCATGACAGTCATAGACAACCATGACATCCTTATACAACCATGACAGTCATAGACAACCATGACATCCATATACAACCATGACAGTCATAGACAACCGTGCATCCATATACAACCATGACAGTCATAGACAACCATGACATCCATATACAACCATGACAGTCATAGACAACCATGACATCCATATACAACCATGACAGTCATAGACAACCATGACATTCATATACAACCATGACAGTCATAGACAACCATGACATCCATATACAACCATGACAGTCATAGACAACCATGACATCCATATACAACCATGACAGTCATAGACAACCATGACAGTCATAGACAACCATGACATCCATATACAACCATGACATTCATAGACAACCATGACAGTCATAGACAACCATGACATCCATATACAACCATGACATTCATAGACAACCATGACAGTCATAGACAACCATGACATCCATATACAACCATGACATTCATATACAACCATGACAGTCATAGACAACCATGACAGTCATAGACAACCATGACATCCATATACAACCATGACATCCATATACAACCATGACATTCATATACAACCATGACAGTCATAGACAACCATGACAGTCATAGACAACCATGACATCCATATACAACCATGACAGTCATAGACAACCATGACAGTCATAGACAACCATGACATCCATATACAACCATGACAGTCATAGACAACCATGACAGTCATAGACAACCATGACATCCATATACAACCATGACAGTCATAGACAACCATGACATTCATATACAACCATGACAGTCATAGACAACCATGACATCCATATACAACCATGACAGTCATAGACAACCATGACATTCATAGACAACCATGACAGTCATAGACAACCATGACATCCATATACAACCATGACAGTCATAGACAACCGTGCATCCATATACAACCATGACAGTCATAGACAACCGTGCATCCATATACAACCATGACAGTCATAGACAACCATGACATCCATATACAACCATGACAGTCATAGACAACCATGACATCCATATACAACCATGACAGTCATAGACAACCGTGCATCCATATACAACCATGACAGTCATAGACAACCATGACATCCATATACAACCATGACAGTCATAGACAACCGTGCATCCATATACAACCATGACAGTCATAGACAACCATGACATCCATATACAACCATGACAGTCATAGACAACCATGACATCCATATACAACCATGACAGTCATAGACAACCGTGCATCCATATACAACCATGACAGTCATAGACAACCGTGCATCCATATACAACCATGACAGTCATAGACAACCATGACATCCATATACAACCATGACAGTCATAGACAACCGTGCATCCATATACAACCATGACAGTCATAGACAACCGTGCATCCATATACAACCATGACAGTCATAGACAACCAACACAACCATGATAGTCACATGAAACAAACCCGTGAAGATCCCAGGTAGAATAGGTCTTCAGCAACCCGTGCTTGTCGTAAAAGGCGACTGTTTGTTGTCTGGAGGTCAGGCTCGCCGACAAGGTTCATGCATGGCATCGTATCCCATTTGCACAGATCGATGCTCACTGGATTGTCTGATCCAGGCTTGATTATTTACAGACAATCGTCGATCACATAGCTGAGTGCGGCGTTCAACAAATAAACAGCACATACTACCAACACAGTCTCACAAATCAGGCAACCAAAGTCAGGAACACATGACACCTTTTCTATACATATCAACTTCATTATTCTTTGTAATGACGTTTCAGGGCGACGTCTCGGCCCTCACGTCGTAAAGTATCCGTCAATGCAAACCTCCCACCTGTTGTTGTTATTGACTGCACGGATTATGCAGATCTGTGGGGTCAATTGTCAGGTCATGAATTTTCGTAAGTTGATACATTGAGATTTTGAATAATTTCACCGCCAATAGCTACTAAATTGCTGACTCGGCGTTCAACAATAATCCCTCACTCATTCAGTTGAATACCTTTTTAAATAGGGTTACCCAAACAATAGTGTTTAAACATGTCAGATGCCACGATTATATTAATCTTGTTCATGGTCTATATAGGTTTTGGCACCCATGGCATCTCACCAATGGATTTGTTGAAGTCCGAGGTGTGGAATGCTGAGGGAAAATCATCCACTTCACAGAGTCCATGTGCTCTATCCTTTGAACAAATCACATCTGACATTTCCCACTACCACGGGCCTTTCTTCAGAACACATGTCAATACCATTCATCTGGCAAACAAGAGAACACATATATTTCGTGTTAAGATATTTATTCATGTCACTGATGATGTGCCATACCCACAAGAGGCGATAGTACTACGTGCCTATTTAGCCATGCCCCAGTGCGAGACCACGGTTGCACCGCGAAGGGCGTGGCCGTCATATGCCACGCCTACACGAGGCGATAGACGCAGTACCACGTGACCTACTTAGCCACGCCCCCTGCGAGACCATTTGCACCTACAAGGGCGTGGCCGTTGTCTTCCACGCATACAAGGAGCGATAAACGCAGTACCATGTGACCTACTTAGCCACACACCCTGCGAGGCCATGTATACCTACAAAGGCGTAGCCATCTTCTACCACACCTACAAGGAGCGATAAACGCAGTACCATGTGACCTACTTAGCCACACCCCCTGCGAGGCCATGTTTCCTACAGGGGCGTGGCCATCACCTACCTCACCTACAAGGAGCGATAAACGCAGTACCATGTGACCTACTTAGCCACACCCCCTGCGAGGCTATGTATACCTACAAAGGCGTAGCCATCATCTACCACGCCTACAAGGGTGTGGCCAAATGGGGAGCAGCAACTTCAACAAAAAGTAGTCATACACAACACCACATGAAGGACATGCAACTGCTTACATGACAACTAAATACATCATTGTAGGCAAAAAATATAAGAAGAACTATGTCATAACAAGTAAATGGACAGTCAACTGTAAATAAATATAAGAAACACATGTACAATGTATGACAAAGTTTTCAGAACAGACCTTCAGAATTCCATAATAAGTTACCATAATTCTAAACCGATCAAAACAAGTTTGGAATCATGAATATGTTCAGGGGTATTTTTTAGTGAAGAAATAAAAACATATCCCCCAAAATATTCCCGATCCCCAACTGTCCTTGTTCAGTGTATTAATATGAAAAGTAAATGTCATGTACTAAGAACACCAGAGTACAGGTACAGAAGCTCACCTTCACTCAGTGTCATAACATGTAAAGGGGGAGAATTTGCGAATTTTTTTGAGTAAAACAATAATTGGTTACAACAGGTGTTTTTATGATAAGTTTCAAGTTCTCAGAACAATTTGTGAAATACTTGTAATGGCCTTATACTTATATTTCACAGTCTTTTTTCCCTTATATCTATGATTCTGTTGACAATCATGTAAAAAGGACAATTGTTTCCTTACTGATAGAGAGGTAAGACACTGATAGTAATTAGACAACGCGGATACATGGATACTGTAGCTGACTCTTCACCCTTTCACATTACGTTGTTAATACTGGTTATCACATTGTGGTACATTTAAGTTTCAGTGCTAACTGACGGATGGACTGACAGACAGAAAAATACCCATAACATAAGCTAGCACTGACGATGTAAAGACGAACAAATTAGAAAAAACATAAAAGTGAAAATTTGGAAAGATAGGAAAATACGTATGTATTTAAATAAGGTAAAACTCTAAATTTCAAACAAATAAAGAGATTTGACATATAAATGGAGATATAATATAGATATGACTTATTATTTGTGTTAAGGTAAAATTATTGTAATATTAGAAAGAATATGGCTTCAAATCATTTACAGTGTCAAACATGTCCCAAGAAACAGGAATTACAAAATTCATTTCATCTAATAATTTTCAACAAAACTAAAACATCTGATTAAATGACCTACTTCGGTTGGCTGGGGTGACATTGTTTTAAAACAATAATCTCACCAGGTTGAAAATCTAATAACTCCACTTTTAATGAAACTAAATAAAAAAACAAATGAGAGCTGTATTTCTAAAAGAATTATGAATGCAAAATACATTTGTCACTCATAGCAGTGACTTGCAGGAACACATAAATCAGTCAAAATAGTACAGAAAAATAGTCATGAACAAATTCCCAGGTCTTTTCATGAATACAAACTAAGCACTTCATATTTCACAGGTGCACAGTGCGAGCATATTGAGTATAAGACATCTGGAAGGCATCTGTGAGTCAGAGAACCATCTCAAAGGACATGGGCTTTGTCAGATCTGGATGTATATATGATATAGATAGATATATATATTTATAACAAGCTGGACTATGTATCATAGATATAATTAATATACTGAACAAATACCATTATGCGCATTAAGCAATGAAGAAGTTGTCATGGAATAATAGTCAAATATCAAAATGCCCGAAGATGGCACTTAATGCGTGAAATGTATACTACTCAACTTTTGATAAGGATATAGGTCAGATATACTGGTATATAAATATACTCTTGACATGTCATGACAGTTTTGTGAATCATGGAAAGATAAAAAACATGCCATTCCTAGCAAAAGAGGAGTAGTAAAAGTTCTGTTTTTTAATATAGATATATAAAGATGTATACCTCACAACATTTGATAAGGATAATGTGACAGTCTAGATGGGGGCTGACTGGGTCAGTTGAGATGTTGTCGTGTGAATAGTATTTGACACTGCCATGGAAATGTACATTTTCAGCTTCTTTCAAGTTGCTAAAAGTACACATGCTCCCCTCAGAGGTCTTGAGTATGAATTGTTTTAGTATTCCTATCAAACAATATAATCATAAAGGACCGCCTCCATTGCTCAGTGGAAGGTCCAGGGATCGATCCCCATCCTTGCCATACCAAAAGACGTTAAAAGATGGTACTTGTTATCCTGCCTGGCGCTAGGTATTGAGGGGCTAAACAAGGACTGGTCAGCTCGGTCTGAGTGGGGTATTCATGTAAAACTGCGGCATGGTATCTCAGTGAGCTAGCACTATAAATCAGCATCAGTCCGGACTAGTACAAGCAGCAACACACACACGTGCATGCACGTCGCTATATAAGTGCAATAAACCCCATTTCACCTCACCCAAAATGATAATGATGCAGCATTATCCACTTGGCTAACCCACCTACCCACAAGGGAGGTTTGATTCTATCCCAGGATCACTAAGGGTATCATAACAGGATAAACACTAAGCAGATCTGTGTTATAAATTCATTAACATTAGCTACACTTCTTTATAAATTTCTTCAGTTAAGATACTGAACACTCTGAAGATCAGGTTTGTGACAGTACAACATAAAACAAAATATAACAAGCAGCACCATTGAGTATTATAGATAATCATTCATATACTGGTATGTATAACTAAACATTCTGATTTATTAGCAACAAAATGATTCTGTAACCACTGACTTCGGACAGGGTCCTACATTCCAAAGTGGCCATGTGAGTCTGTGAACAATTCACTGCACCATCAACACCTCACAGGGTTGTACACACAACGTTGTTTCATGTCGTGTACACAATCGCATGATGAATTGTGTGATAGTGAATTGTCTCAAGTCTAATGCCCACATTTCACTACGACCACGAATATCCCGAATCATCCCCGAATAGGACATTTTTCATGTTCGTAGATAAATCTCAATCATTTCTTGAAGTTCTTAAATGAATCTTATTTGATTCTCAAACATTCGTACAGTTCGTGGAAGTTCATCAAATCGGCGAGAAATTTTTGTTTGTCAAAAACGTTTCGTGGAAGGGTTCCCCAATTGCAACTGTATCATAATCCATTCGTAATTAATTCTTATGTTCCTAAACAGCTTTGTAATCGTTTCTTTTGTATGCTTGGCTATTCTTAGCAATTTGTGGCTTTCTTGTCCTCAACCCGAAAACATCCCGAAACAGCCACGAATGTCCCGAGTCAACTACGAATCATGTAAGAATTAAATAAGAACAACATTCAGCATATTCGTAACTTAGTCGTAGGTGATTCTTACAATTCGTGCATGATCCGTACATGAATCTTGTAATTTGTAAATGTTTCTTAACGCATTCCTGGCATTCTTAATATTTTTCAACCCGATTAGCCACAAAATTTCACGAATTTCGAAAGTTTCCAATTCAGGGTGATTCGTGATCGTAGTGAAAGGGGGGCATAAACCGATGAAAACACAACAAAGAAACGTATGTCAGCCACCATGCAGAGAGAACACTGGACTCTAGAGATTCACCAAAGTTCAGTGCATCACAATACCTATTCCCAATTTATATGTATTACACCATAAGTGAATTGGGACTTAAATCATGTTTTCAAGGTGGAGCTAGGTTATCTGTAGATTTAACCACACTAATTTGTAGAACTGAACGCAGACCTGTAACAAATTACCCAGAAATGTATATATGATTATTTCAAAATGCCTGACGACAATGATTGACAATGAATTTCTTTTCTATATATAAGCTTCCTCAGTGAAATCAGTTGTTTCAGTCAGAAGTGGTTATTGTGATTTGAAACTTCTAATTGACCAATCAGAATCATGTATTTTCTAAATTCAGGGTATAATATTTTTTATGCCACAGTCAGCAATATTTAATTAGCAGTTAGCAATCTATATTATAACAGCCGAGCATAACAGTACACCTTGAGCTGCAGTCCTACATAAAAGTGGTTCTCCATATGACTATCAATATGTCCCAGCAAGCACAGATACAGGTACCTGCAGGCTTCACCCAAGACAGCCCTGTAGTTAGTTAGTATGGTTTTACGCCACTTTAAGCAATATTCAAGCAATATCACACAGAGGACACCTGAAATGGGCTTCACAAATTATACCCATGTGGGGACTGAACCAGGTCTTTCAGCATGATGAGTCAATGCCTTATCCACTCGGCTACCCCACCGACAGCCCTATATGTACTGGTAGTACACAAGAGATGCAAGATCATGTGCCACTTCACTGAGTACTGGTTGCTATGGTAATGACACATATTTGTGTTGATTTCTGGAATTCACTGGTATTTGTATCCCTGTTAGTTTGAAAACAGTTGCCGTTAGCATTCGTCAAACTGTCTCCATTAATATTGCCATTTCTTTCAACTGCCGGGAAAAATTCTGCAATAGAATGAAAACAACATATAAATTATTGCACATTTCTGATACATGGCATTTTATTGCCATAGAAATATAGAGCTATCAGGATATGTAGTTCATAAAAATATTCCTGAAATATTTTCAACTTTAACTCATATTGTTGGTAAACAAGGGTAATAAGAGAATGAAAAAATACTGCACGTCCTAGCTGCGTCTACGTAGAATAAACATGAAAACAATCATAGCTGTGTAAGGTACCGAACTTTGCAGCCACAGCGATACATTTAGGTCGAAGTTGCTGCAGGCACAACCCAATGTAATATATGTTATTGGTTGTAACCACTTAATAACGGCACAGCAAGTTTTACAAGGATACACACAGAAATGTATGACTCATGGGCAGAAATAACATTTCCAATATGGCTGCCAGGACAGCCATAATGAGGACACATATTCAGTCAAGTCCCGTTAATCCGACATGGATGGTTGCATATGACTATGTCGTATTAACGAGTATGTTGAATAACGAAATTAAGTAGTATCAACATTCATGATGGAAAATCGGACAACTACATGATAGATAACGATACAAATACATTGTAATAAAAAACTGAAAACTATTTAAATTGTTATGTGACATTGTTAGCAGAATATGTTTTCGGTAGGCGAATGACCACGGAGTATGCAGATCACTGTGTTGGATTCACGAAATTGATTAATGAGTGATTTCGGTAATTCGTGGCAATTAGGTGCCTCAGTGTCAGAGTGCGAGACTGTCAGATTAATGGGTCTAAATAGCACAGATTTAATCGGTTCCCATTATGAGTGTCGGATAAAACCGATTGTGGGATTAATCGGTGTCGGATTAATGAGACTTGACTGTAACAAGAATATCCAACTGCAATTGTTGGTACACCTGACATAAATCCACACCAAACAACACTTGTTCCAACATATTACTGTCATATGATAAGCGGTTATTAGCCTCATGTGGTTTACCATCATTAATATCATACATTAGTTTGTTGGTTTGTTGTTTAACGCCACACTCAGCAATATTCTAGCTATATGACGGCGGGCTGTAAATAATCGAGTCTGGACCAGACAATCCAGTAATTGACATCTTGAGCATCGATCCACGCAATCAACCAAGTCAGCGAGCCTGACCACCCGATCCTGTTAGTCGCCTCTTACGACAAGCAAAGTCGCCTTTTACAGAAAGCATGGGTTGCTGAAGACATGTCATACGTTAGGAAAACAAACTGTATAATGTTAGTCTCTGGCAACCATACCCAGCAATACATATTTTTTATTCCTAACATATTCTATTTACTGTACCGAAACACAAAAGGGCAATAATTTCTATATCATTGTCATTCTTAACATAATCAAAGTGAGAGATATTTTCAATCACTAAAGTACAGAAACCATGTAGGAATACAACGCCTGAGTAAACCGCCCCAAATATATACAGTGCCATAAAAGTTTCTGCTATGTTTTTTTACAGGAGCACTAGTGATTGAGTTGGGTTTAACTTCACTTTAAACAATATTCCAGTTATATCATGGCATGTCAGCTTAATGTGGCCCAGTCGTCTAAGGCACCGTGATTTGCTGTGCAGAGTTGCTTCCCTTTGGCACGCCAGAAACCTATGATTGTGGGTTCGAATCTGGGTTTGCCCCGATTATGTTTCTAGGTTTGTCAGCACCATACATGTGCTCGTGGGTTTCACCAAAGTGGTAAACATCTGAAACCTGCATCACTTCGGGCTTTCCTCCCACATTAAGCTGACATGCCGTGATATAACTGGAATACTGTTAAAAGCGGCTTTAAACCCAACTCACTTGCTTCACACAGCTATACACACCATAACAAAATCATAAATCATAGAATTTCAAAGAAAGGTAAGAAACTCATTTGTCGTCCAACACTTACCCTAAACTGCGTGAGCGTCATCTCGACGGAGTGTTTGGTGATGTTGCCGCCGGTCTCAGCGATGGTGAGGAGGAGGGTGATGGTTGGGGAGTTGAGGTTCTTGCAGTCGTCCGAACTGATGGCCACGCCCACTCTCCACTGCAAGTCCAGCAACTGGTGGGTGAAGGGAGTGGGTGAGTGAGTTAATAGCATGAGTGAGTGAGTGAATGGTGAGCCAATTGCACATAAACTGTAAGACTGCATGGCATATCACACTGGCTGCTCAAAACATATGGTTTCCGTTTGATAACATGGTCATCCCACAATAGATGAGGGGCGGTCGGGTAGCCTAGTTGTTAAAGCGTTCGCTCGTCACGCCAAAGACCTGGGTTTGATTCCCGACATGGGTACAGTGTGTGAAGCCCATTTCTTGTGTCCCCCGCCGTGATATTGCTTGAATATTGCTAAAAGCGGCATAAAACTATGCTCACTCACTCATTCACAATGAATGAGGTGAGGTGAAATTTGGTTTAACGTCGCGTCCAAGATTATTGCACTTATATAGCGACGTGCACAATGAATGAATTCATTAATCATGTTAATCTTGTCATGAAAGATGATAAATCTGATCAATTCAAATGAAAATCGCAAACATGGAAAAAAACCATTTTGGTCAGCAATCTGGACAAGTAGACATTGTCTCCAGACATAGTGAGTTTCTCCTGTTCACATGTTCAAGGACACGATCCCAATGTTGAAATTTCCACAGCCCTGACTGATTGTGGCTTACCGTATATCGATGTGTGTAAGGCGAATCTTTCATTCCTAGAATTAGGAGGATTTCAAAGGGGAGACAATATACACAGTAATCTCAATCTCTGCATATAACACAATGCCTAGCAGAACAGGAAATATAATTTAATCAGTAAATTATCATGTCTCAAATTTCAAATTTGTATTGACCAAGTTTATGTTATGATCTGTTTCGTTTTCCTGAATTCGCTGAAGGGATTCGATGTAATTTTATGCTGCGGAAGATAAACACTCATTTATTGCAAATGTAGGGATTGTGTATGCACTGGTGATGAGCTTCATTCAGATTTGCTTTATAGACAGGTTTTATAAATTTGCTTCGATTTTGAAGGCTTGTACAGGGGGTCGGCTTTAGGTGGGGGTCGTTTTATAGACATCGATGCATGGTATATTATCAAACATCGACCAGTTTGTGACCACCTCTGTGGTCTAATGGTAGAGCATCCGCCTGCACATCGCTATATAAGTGCAATAATCTTGGACGCAACGTTAAACCCAATTTCACCTCACCTCACCTCGACCAGTTTGTAAGGACTCAAGCGACTATGACATAGCTGTGATACCGCTGGCAGTGGCAGAAGAGAAAAGCTGGAACAGTTTCATCACCGCCATTGTAACACTACTTAAAAACACATACTGTAAGTCAATTCAACTTCGAAATGAGTAGGGGTGGTTGGGTAGCCTAGTGGTTAAAACGGTTGCTCGTAACGCCAAAGACCCTGGTTCAATTCCTGACATGCGTACAATGTGTGAAGCCCATTTCTGGTGTCCTCTGCCATGATATTGCTGGAATATTGCTAAAAGCAGCGTTAAATCATACTCACTCACTCACTCCGAAATGAATAATGACTCTTAAAAAAAGACCTTGCTCTGAAACCACCTCCTGACGAAATGAGCATAACTCAAATAACTCAAATAACTCAACAACAAAAAGTGGTCCCAGATGTTCTTTATATGAAGTATCATCACAATGAGCAACGGCTGTGTATGCTACTAACCTGCCCCACATTCAGGCACTGCAACTGGGACGTGGTGGCCATGAGTTGTCTCCCCTGACAAAGAAATATGCACAAGTCAATTTATTTGCAAGTACTGAGCTCTGAAATCTAATTTGGGTAAAGCATGACAAAAACACTGATATACCGTAAATCATGAAATAAATACAAGCACATTTTTTTGGCGAAAATGCAAATGCATAACATAAACATAAACATAACAAATGAACATTCTGAAATGGCTCATTGATGGCCTGGAATCACTTATAAAGCCCGTAACTGGTGTTCGGAATACCCTGTGTTAAATCTTCCGAGGTTGCATGATCAGAAATCCCATTCCTTCTGTCACTTTCATGATCTGGTAAGCAACGCTCTGATTGGTCTGAGTCTGCCTCCGTGGTCTTGTGGTAGAGCGTCCGCCCGGAGAGCGGAAGGTCCAGGGTTCGATCCCGGGCCGCGTCATACAAAAAGACGTTAAAAGATGGTACTTGTTGTTACCCTGTCTGGCGCTCGGCATTAAGGGGCTAAAACAAGGACTGGTCGGCTCGGAGTCAGTATACTGTGTCTGAGTGGGGTATTCATGTTCAACTGCGGCATGGTATCTCAGTGGGCTAGCACTATAAATCGGCATCAGTCCGGACTAGTACAAGCAGCCACACACACACACATGCATGCACGTTGCTATATAAGTGCAATAATCTTGGACGCGACGTTAAACTCCATTTCACCTCACCCGAGTGGTCAGATGAAGGTTCTTCTGATGTGTCCTGTAAAGGGACGTCCTCAGATCTTTGACTAGCGGTAGCGGTAATTAAGATCTGATTTTATGTGATGGCTCACTATGGACAGGTGGGGTGAAATGGGCTTGAATGTCACATTCAAGATTATTTCACTTAGCTATATAGTGACATGCAAGTACATGTACGTGTGTGTGTGTGCATTGTAATCTGGACTTCTGTCCAAGCCGACCAGTCCTTGTTCTAACCCCTCATGCTGACTGCAAGATAACAGCAAGTACTTTCTTTTACATATTTTGGGTATGATGCAGCCAGTGGATCGAACAACTGACTTCCGTTCACATGGTGAACAGATTTGGTAAGGATTTTCAATAACAACAGCAGGATTTGTCATTGTCAATCAAATCTTTGCATCCATTCCCACATTCCAAATCTGTCACTACCTGCTCGTTCCACGAGTGTACCAGAGTATCCACGACATCCTTTGAAAAAATGTCCGATGAGGTCAGCTGATTTTGAAATTCCTCACCGTCCATTTTTAATGCTGCAGCAGATCTGAGAACAAAACAGAACAAAACTAAGACGACAAAATAAGAGACACTTGGAGCCACCAGCCACACATTTCACACATACAAACAGGTAGGCCAGTATCTGCAGTAACACCTGAACATTTATGTGAATTTACAAGAATCAGAAATGAACTAAACAAGATGAAGTAATCAACAACACTGCTCGAGGAACCTGAAGATTTGTAGCTGTTCTTGCTTTTGAGAAAATGTCAAAAGAGACTTAACAGTCATAAGCTAGTGCAAACAAGCAAGGGTTGGGTGAAAATTTTGGGTGATTAAATTATCTGTCTTGTTTTTAAAAAAATCTTTAGTTTAAAAAAAACTTTTCCCGTGAGGTCACGTGATAACCAAATATGGGATAATAGTCTCGATCCAAATGTTACAACGCGTACACTTGAGCAGACTCATGAATATAACTCATGAATATTAATTAGACCGTTCACTACGTTAATAGATCGTTATTATAACAGAAACAAACGTATGTTTTCCATGTAAATCTGAAATGATATTATTTGTTATTAATTGTCCGGTGAATTAAACAATTTAAATTGAAACAATTCATAATTCATCATATTATGAATACGTAAACTTGTAATGTGTGTGAAAAGTCGTACTAAAATACGCTATTTGAAGGGGGCGTGGCCTAAATGCAAATGTCCGATTGGGATTTTAAATTTTCCGGACCCCTGGGTAAAATGCTATCGCAAAGTTAAAAACATAGAAAGCATTGGTTGTTTACCGTGGTTACAGTGTGTGATGAGTTTTAGTGGCTGTACCTGGACAGTGTGGGTTGTTGCTGTTAGCAACCCCTGGTTTGCCTGGCCAGACTTGGCCTAGTGTACAGGCAACCATCATATACAAACTTTTGCTGACCATAGCCAAAAACAACCCCCACTCATCATCATCATCATCATCATCATCAACATCATCAACATCACCACCTAGTTTCGTACAGGCTGCCCGTCATTACCAAAATATTGCTGATCACAGCATAAAAAAAACACTCTCATCATCATCATCATCATCATCATCATCACCACCATCATGATCACCATCATCATCATCATCATCATCATCATCATCACTGCCACCATCACCACCACCATCATCATCATTGCTACCACAACCACAATCACCACAATCAAAACCACCAACATCATCATCATCGCCACCACCATCAACACCACCATAACCACCATCACCACCATTACCATCATCATACAATCAGTTTGAGGCAGCTTACCGCAGTAAGTAGGTCAGAGCATTCACAACACTTGTGATGGACACCTTGGTGGGACTAGCTGAGAAGGCCTCCAGTAGCTGGAACAAACAAGTACATCGTGTGCCATGAACATTGTCTTAAGCCAGCTCAACACTCAGTGTGTGTATTGTTTATTACAAACATCATTGCGGTGATCATATACATGTCCATTATCACATGTCATACACAACCACTCCAGCAATTAGGAAAAGTTTCATGAGTGAGTGAGTTGGGTGTAACGCCGCTTTTAACAGTATTCACAGCATGTCAGCCTAATGTGGGAGGAGGAAAGCCCAAAGTGATGGAGGTCTCAGACGTTTATGGTACTGACAAACCTTGAAACATAACAGGGGCGAACCGAGATTCGAACCCACAATCATAGGTTTCTGGCGTGCCCAAGGGACGCAACTCTGCACAGTGAATCGTGGCGCCTCAGACAATTGGGTCACCCGTGCCCCAAAGTTTCATGAGACGAGAGATACCTGTTGTACAGACTTTCTTGACTCTTTTTTTAAAACTAAGACTAAAGCAGAAACAATATTTTGAAGTGATATTGGTTCAGATGTGGGGGCACGGGTAGCCCAGTCGTCTGAGGCACCGCAATTCGCTGTGCAGAGTTGCGTCCCTTGGGCATTTCAGAAACCTATGATTGTGGGTTCGAATATCGGTTCGCCCCGATTATGTTTCTAGGTTTGTCAGCACCATACCCGTGCTCGTGGGTTTCACCGAAGTGGAAACATCTGAGACCTGCATCACTTGGGGCTTTCCTCCCACATTAAGCTGACATTATAACTTGAATACTGTTAAAAGCGGCGTTAAACCCAATTCACTCACTGGTTCAGATGTAGTCACATTCAAATGCAATGCAATATTTTTCAATATGGGTTTACTAATGATATTGTTTCACTGGTCTGCAACAAATTGAACTTGAAATCCTGAATACTTATGTTTTAACAAGAAAGATCAGTTTGTAATGAAACCTTTTTCATGGTCATAATGACTTGTGTTGCTTTCATGAACAAATATTACACCTTTCTAGGGATAACAACTTCCTTATTATACTTCAAAACGTCTCTGTCATCAATAAGGGACCGGCCATTTATTATAGGGTCAGTGGGTAAATATGACAGTCATACAAGGGGAGGGTCATACAAAATAATACACATATTTGAGGAGGGTCATAACAATAAAATACAAAATTCTTTTGCATTTAGTTTTTTCAGGGAATTGAAGGTCATAAAAAAAATGTACAAGGGCATGCGAGGGTCATTCAAACATATGACAAGCATCAGGGGAGGGTCATTATTGTCAGTGAATGACTGCATCAAGAGACAGAAAGACACAGACACAAAGACAAAGACACACACACACACACACACACACACACACACACACACACACACACACACACACACACACACACACACACACACACACAGAGAGAAAGACACACACACAGAAAGACACACACAGAAAGACACAAACACACACAGAGAGAAGGACACACACTCGCACACACACACAGAAAGACACACACAGAAGGACACACACACACACACAGAAAGACACACACACACAGAAAGACACACACACAGAGAAAGGCACACACTCGCACACAAACAGGGGTAACAAATGACCAGTCCCTACCCAAAAAGTATCTATTTTGTCATCTATCAACTTCTAAGAAATGTCTATCGAACAATTCAAATATGACACCTACACACTAAATATTTTGGACATTTAAAGATTTTCGGGGATTTCTTTTCACCTTAAAATGTGCTTTGTAACCATGGTAACACAATTTAGTGTGCACACTGATGCATTGCAATAACCTGGTCACCAATTCATTTTTAATCAATAGCTGTTCGGATTCACCTTTGTTTTAACAACCTATATATTACATGCTAGGGGAAAACGTCCTATTAGTCATTTGCTTTTCCATGTCATGTGCAAGTCGGAAAAATAGACAGAAGACATATTGAATCTGAACCTGCATGATACCATTTGTATCATAACACATCCATTGTGAATTAATTGTCAATACTTCATCAATCAAGAACCACAACATGACACATCTCATGCTCGTTGTTGTTTTGTTACCATGGTGACAACCCCATGCAACAGATGTGGGTTCATTCAACCTACCAGGAAACTAATTACATGGGAGGAATGACTAATGTGGGTCTATGTCTGAAATATTTTGTATTTGCAACAAAACAGGCAGGCTGGTGACACTACAATGTAACTAACCTGTCTTGTAAGTTGCAGGCCTGGATTTGTAAATACATGCTAGAACACTTGTGTCATCAATAATATCTCACATAAACTATTGTGATGAAATAAAGTTTAGATGTACCAAAACAGACTTGTTATCGTCAATAATGTCCATTGCTAAAGATGGAAAGTAACTCTTTTTGTTATATCTTGTATGTCTAAAGTAATACCTGCTACCAAACAGTGAAATATGTTGATTTCATTTAGAACTTTTTTGGCGCATTTGCTCAAAATTACTTCTCCGATATTTATCGATAATAGATTGATATTTAGTTAATGATTATCAATGTCTTTGATCTGTATTGATAGCCCTCGAAGTATATGCTAGTCTGGTTACCCGTGACTAATAATTTGTGTTGTAGACAAGTAAGTTCTCTTTGACAAGTAGCATTTGCGGGCTGTATTTCTAAACCAGTTCTCAATGATTCTAGTTTGCTACAAACTGAATACGTCTGACTGAAAATGTAATGATAGCAAACATTTGTGTCTCTTTCAAGCAGGACCAGCTACAAACTCGGAGGACTCGTGAAAGGTGAGGTGGTGAAATGGGGTTTAACGTTGCATCCAAGATTATTGCACTTATACAGTGACGTGCATGTACGTGTGTGTGTGGCTGCTTGTACTAGTCCAGACTGCTACCGATTTATAGTGCTAGCTCACTGAGATACCATGCCGCAGTTTAACCTGAATACCCCACTCAGACACAGTATACTGACTCCGAGCCGACCAGTCCTTGTTTTAGCCCCTTAATGCCGAGTGCCAGGCAGGGTAACAACAAGTAGCATCTTTTACGCTCTACCACTAGACCACGGAGGCGGTCGACTCGTGAAAGAACTATTATTAAATAAGATGAATGTGAAAGGCTGTACCTGTGTGTACTTCTCTGCCTTCACCGGACCGGACTTGTACTGTAGAAATGTTGCAACATCCTGGCACTGAAAACATATGAGTGTGTTAGAGCTGGGACGAGTCCAAATTTACTACCCGGGTACCCACCCCCCTATCATGCCACCCTACCCACTGTAGGTCTCAAGAGATAGGTACAAACTATCCGATTGAAATAGTTTGATTGTAGCCCTGGACCAAATGTATTTAGATACTGGCATAAAATGATCTGGTCATGCAAACACTGAAGTTCATTGAAGTTTTATCTTTATTCAAACATATAAAAGTCAGAAGGAATGAGTGCATAGTCAAAAATTGTGAACAATAGTGACTTGTAGTGTAACCATATAGTTCCAGAACATTGTTGTCATTAAACAATATATCACATGGCTTACCACGGGTCCGGGTAGTCCTGTAGATACCCGAGTTCTTCTCAGAACCCACCCGACCCGGGTACCCGAGTTACCCGTCCAAGCCCTGGAGCGTGTGTACCAACAGGGAATGACATAACTGCACAGGAATGGGACTTGCAGTTGATACTAATTGCTAGTGGTGGAACAATACACCAATGCATCGGTGGATGGCAATAACTTACTTCCCACTACAAGTATTGATTACAGTCGCGTACTAAGTAAAAATGATCGATTTATACCTTAAATGTTTACTTTAATGGCTGTTACACCAAACACTACTTTGTAGTGAAATTTAGAAGTGAAAAAGTAAATATTTTAATACACTGTGCCATATTGACACTGCCATCTGTAAATCATCAGTGACCCAGGTATTTGACTATCCTGTCTATGATAAGTAGCTTACACACCACAGATATGAGCACATACAAGTATCGTGATACTTATCGGATAGTAAAAAATGTATCATATGTTTTAGATCGCACAGTTGGTGTATCATCCCTACATATTGCGCCCAATCTTAATTATATCGGGTAGAGGATGTAAAACTGTGTACAAATATTTATTCTGGAGACCCAGCTCTTCCACCAACTCCTTCTCCCTCTATGATACATAATCAGAGCTCCAGATAAGCTTTTGGTGTTGTGGGTATTTTACCCATGCATTTTAAAATCATTGGTATCAGTAATTCTATCTGCGTATTCAAATTTCTGTTACCCACTAGTTTTTACACATGTGGGTATTTAAGTTAAATATTTAAAAACACTATTCATCTAGTCCCTGCAAATTGGTGTCGTGTGGGTTCGAGAGCTTTATAGGACTCAAAAATACCACGATACTTCCACAAGAAAGTGTGACGGCAAATGATCATGATGTAACTGTCATCGTGGAGTTTGGCAAGGTTGACGGAATGCCCGTTTATAATTTCAAAATAAGTTGCTGATTTGCTAATCGAATACGCAGGGTTACTTCACAATATTTTGATGATACGCACAAGTTTTATTTTTGTAGCGTATCTGTAATGTTCGTTGCGTATTTAATACGCTTGGATTATATTTTACTGCATATTTCTGCATGTCTGATGCGTATTTCACGCAGATACGCAGCTTATCTGGAGCTCTGCATAATTAGTCCCATAATTAGTCTTGTCCTACAATTATAAATTTCATGACTCACAATCTGTGCAAGCATGTCTTGAGGAAGTCGACCTGCATCTGCAATAGCTTCTTGGAAACCTGTACAAAACATAATAGCAATGGCATGACAAAATGACTTTCAACATGAATAAAATATAATGTAGTAAAATAACTGACTTACATAATCCCATGTCTAGTATAGTAGATGAAGAAGTTTTAACTGTAACAGTCTATGGATCATCTCAGATGAAACAAGTTAAGTATGGACTGTTTAATCAGTTTAGGATCGACTTTCTCACTGCATAATGTGGTCAAATGTAACCTATGTTATATTTGGCATTGCACTTTCTTCATAAAGTACACATTCTAGTTTTGGGTGGAGCCTCCATGGTTTAATCATAACACGCTGTAGCATGGGGATACATTGGCCATAAAAAAAATATTTATTTACAATTTGATCATAAGCTCTGTGTACAACTACGAATATTCCAGGTCAGTGACTGTCATTATATTTAGATTTACCGTTACTCTCCAAATTCTTCACTATTTGCATAAAACCACTGGAATCTATTTTTACAAAATATTCCATAGTATATTAAAGTAAGTGCGTTTGTATTTCTAGCAGGAAATTATATAATGATTTTACAAGCACCTTGCGGCAAGCTTTGCAATATAGCCGCCATGTTGTTTAGTCACGTGACACAGTTTACAAAATCACATGACTCACATCACGTGATTATTAAAGAAGCGTTCACAAGAAAGTGAATGTGTTTTGGTTCTTTTCAGGACTGGGCGTTCAACTTATTAAGCCACCCCAAACAGATCTAGATATCTAGTCGCACCAGGATCTAGATATCTAGTCGCACCAGGACTTGATTGCTGCATCTTGGTTCGAATCCCAACTGCAGTACTTCTCAAAACGGCCATAAACCTTATTCGCGGTAGCGTAGCTTAATAGTTGAGGTGTTCGCTCGTCCCGCCGAAGGCCAGAGTTCGGATTCCTCACATAGGTAGAATGTGTTAAACATATTTCTGGTGTCCCCAGCCGTGATGTTATCAGAATACTGTTAAAAGCGGCGTTAAAGTCGTTGTCAATTATTCACTCACTGTACTTTCACTCAATAAGCAACTTGTGAATTCTGGGTTAGAATAGTTCCCCAGGAACATGTGTTGGTCGTTTACATGATGTTGTACAAGTTGCAGGGTTGATACTGATAGTTTTAAGGAATTTATAGTCCGGATTCTTTTACAGTACTGAATATCGGAGACATTTCAAAGTAATACATTTTTACTGTGGGTGTGGGGTTGCACTTAAAATTACAAAAAATGCTGGATGATTACAAATGATTCATTCGGGAAATAGTCTGCCTTTGTAAGTCAAACATTAGTCACATTATATATTATTAGTGATTGTTTGAATGAAATCATGTCACCAATGTATTCAATTTTTTTATATAAGTTAATATTATAGTGTGCTTCAAAAATTAGGAATGGTGAGCAAACAAAGTGAGGGTGTTAGGTAGGGTGCGTTTAAAAAAAGAGTGGGTAAGGTGTACTTAAAATGTGGGTAGGTTGGGTGCGCTTCAAAAATCGGGTTGGGTTGGTAAGGCGTGCTTCAAAAATGGAGGTGGATGTGTAGGTAGGGTGGGCTTCAAAAATGGGGATGGGATAGTAAGGTGTGCTTCAAGGACTCGCCTTCCAAACACGCATGACCCAAACAATAACGAATCTGGCCTACATTGCAGACAAACTATGCCTGTAGTAGGGAGCTACTCCGTCCCACAGTCCCTCAACCATATCATTTACCCTTCTGCTCAGCCCTTATTGTAATGCTGTAACCCTAAATGAAGCAAGTCTAGATTTTCCACAGATCCTTCATCTCACTAGGGCTCTTTTTCAATTTAGATGGAGTTGTTTGTTTCTATCAAAATTATATACTTTCAGAGACCAAGGGTAATCTAGCAGGGAGTCTGCAGATTAAGATCATATATGTAGGCCCTGCTGTACTTATAATATTAAATTTTGATCTCGAGGTGGCAACAAATTCAAACTCTCTGTTGTTCAAAGGAGGAATACGTGAATAATTAGTTTGGGTGTAAGTAACTGATTAAAAGCGGGTGTGTACGTTTATGTATTGAAGATATCTGTCATACTCTAATGTATTATAAGTGCGATAGGAAACACACGAGGGTAATACTCTCTTTGTCGTATAATGACATTGTTATACTGATCGATGTTTAAGACATATATTTACTCAATGAAGTACAGTAAACTACGGTTATAACGACTCGATTATTTACAGACCGCCGTCATATAGCTGGAATATTGCTGAGTGCGGCGTAAAACAACAAACCAACCAACCAACTACAGAAACACCCACACATCAGGAAACCCTAATCAAAATGTATTTGGCACTATAGCCAATATAGAGTAACGCCCCAAAGGATGTACATGCAGACCTTAAAAGTAGTCCCTGCTAGGGGACATCATTTGCATAATTATCCGATTGGTTTATCGCATGGCTAACATAAACGTATCTATTACATGATACACTACTGTAGACTACCACAATTAAGGACCAATAACCAATAAATAAACCTTTTTGTAACTACATGTTAATATACTTGATTAAATCACCGACAATCAATGCAGGGGGTAACAAAATTAATTTCAGATGAAATTCGAGTTTCCAGGGGGTCCAACAACTGAATTGTATATATAACTTGACAAAACGCATTTTTCTTATCACAACAGACCCGTGTAACCGAAAACATGTCCTCCAATTTATTTATTATCCTCACAGTCATCTTTTGTCTGTCATGTGTATTGAGCCAGCAACACAAGTGGCCCGTTGAGCATCGGTAAGTGACATTTTTACCCGTTTGTTTTTGGGGGTTGTTCTTTAACGCCGCACTTCGCGATATTCCTGCTAGATGATTTGTTTGTTTGTTTGTTGTTTAACGCCGCACTCAGCAATATTCCAGCTATATGACGACGGTCTTTAAATAATCGAGTTTGGACCCATCTTCCCGAGGCAAGAGAGTTAACTGACTATAAAAGTCCAGTTTCCACCCTTGACGAACTAGGCTGGTAATATGGAGTTACATTTTGGCTGGACTAACGAGTCTATGCATAGTCCAATCAAAATCGCGCAATGAAATCGAAATCCGGTTCGTAAACTGTCATGCAGATTTTTTTGGACGACTGCAGGATTTGCAAAGCATGTGCACCGCCAACTCGTTGTCAACAGATATTTTCAAAATCTATTTCATGTTTTTAATCAAGGTGCTCACGTAATTTGATGCACTTCGCGATGTAAGACCCGTTTTATCACAGTATAGATCTTGATTATCGATCAGATCGTCCTGACTGAGCGCCACCATTTGGTTTGAAGCAAATGTAAGTAATACGAGAGGTGGAATCTGATTGGTCCATAGGAGAGGCTTAGAAGGGACATAACTCGTAATAGCCACTGGTGGCGCTACGATCGAGCCCGGGAATTCCAGCCTAGTTCGGCAAGTGTGGAAACTGGACTTTTAAAGTCAGTTAACTCTCTTGCCTCGGGAAGATGGTCTGGACCAGACAATCCAGTCATTGGCATCTCGGAATTGGAATACGATGACATGCATCATCCAAGTCAGCAAGCCTGACCACCCGATCCCGTTAGTCACCTCCTACGACAAGCATTTTTACGTCAGGCATGGGTTGCTGAAGACCTATTCTACCCCGGATCGTCACGGGTCCCTAGCTGTAGATGACGGCGGTCTGCACTTAATCGACTCTGGACCATTGATTATGCGGGTTTCTATTCACACAGTTAGTATATTGCTGACATGCACTGGGATTGAAATGTAACGTAAAACAGCACGATTGACCTGGTGCCTAGATCATGGCGTTTGACACCCCAATTCGATTCGCAAAGCAGTCCCCTAGATTCAAGGATCCAACACTCGTGGGTTCGTATCACAGCTATTTCCGTATTATGACTCTAGGTCTGTCTGCACCATACCCGTTTTCGTTTACCAAAATTAAATACAGTTCAAACTGCGGTTAAACCCAACTTACCCACTCACTCTCTGTGTTGCAGTGGCGGTCGGGTAGCCTCGTTGCTGTCACGCCGGGTACGATTCCCGACATGGGTACAAAATGTGAAGCACATTTCTGGTTTCCCCCGCCGTGATATTGCTGGAATATTGTTAAAAGCGGTGTAAACCCATACTCAATCACTCACTCTTTGTTGCAGGCGAGTCCCTCATCGATCCCCGGCAGACCCGAGATGTCAAACACCCAACCCTCCATTCTGCGTGAATGGTATCAGTATGCCGACGTTTTCCGATGATGACCGAGTGGAGTTGTTTCACATGTATGCCGATTTGACGCCAAACATGCATCTACCAGACGTAAGAATACCAGTTTTAGATTTGGTTTGGAGTTAACACGTTAGAAAACCTAAGGGCCGACCATTTGCAATTGGGGGTGGGTGTTTAGAATTAAAACACATTTAAATAGGTTTGAATAGGTTTAAGGTGAGGAGAAATGGGGTTTAACGTCGCGTCCATGCGATGTGCATGCACGTGTGAGTGTGTGGCTGCTTGTACTAGTCCGGACTGATGTCGATTTTATAGTGCCAGAAAGGTAAAGTCTTGAGTTGCGTGTGTTATTCCTGTCATTTTGGGTATGTGGGGTAGCCTAGTTGGTGAAGCGTTTGCTCGTCACTCTAAAGGGTCGGGTTCTAATTCCTACATGGGTAAAAAGTGTAAAGGTGAGATGAAATGGGTTTAACGTCGCGTCCAAGATTATTGCACTTTCATAGCGACGTCCTTGCTCGTGTATGTGGCTGCTTGTACTAGTCCGGACTGATGCTGATTTATAGTGCTAGCCCACTGAGATACCATACCTCAGTTTAACATGAATACCCATCTCAGACACAGTATACTGACTCCGAGCCGACCAGTCCTTGTTTTAGCCACTTAATGCCGAGCGCCAGACAGGGTTACAACAAGTACCATCTTTTAACGTATTTTTGTATGACGAGGCGGTCGAATAGGTCTAAGAAAATTGACATTTGTAACGACAACGGTCTCTATAGCACAAGTAGATGACTACAAATCAAAAAGTTAACCCGCCAAGTTACTAAACATAAAGCGTTCATGAAAGTGTTGTTGCTAAGTGACTAACAGTATTTCTATGAAGCAAGAAACGCAAGCTGGCAATGAGGTGGGGTGAAGTTGGGTTTAATGTCGCCATGAGATGCCATGCCGCAGTTTAACTCACTCAGACACAGTATACTGAGTCCGAGCCGGAGGTGGTCCAAGCTGACAATGAAAGTATATCTGATTACTTCTTACCCACTTGTTACCCACATACTTCTATTCTATATCCCCATAAAACGCAAATGAATTATAAGGGGGGTGCTGGAGGATACGGGTATTTAGACCCAAGACCCTAGCTCCTAACCATGTTTAGACCTAAACGAGTCAAAATTAGGGGACAAAGAAGGTGTTTATGTTTGTGTTTAGGATATTCATATTTATAAGTAATCTTTGTCAAAAGCGACGTCGATTGTACGATTCCGACTACATCATGTGCATGTGTTTAGGAGTGAGTGAGTGAGTATGGCTTTACGCCGCTTTTAGCACTGTTACAGCAATATCACGGCGGGGGACACCAGAAATGGGCTTCACACATTGTTCCCATGTCGGGAATCGAACCCGGGTCTTCGGCGTGACGAGCGAACGCTTTAACCACTAGGCTACCCGACCGCCCCGCATGTGTTCAGGAATCACCATCAAACAGTGATGATTCCAGGGCCCAGTTGCACAAAGCGATCTTAGCGATAAGACTATCGTATACCTACGTTATGGTATGGGAGTTACGATCATCTTAGTGCTAAGTTCGCTTTGTGCAAGTCGGTCCTGGTTTTCGCGAAAACATATTTTAAACAGTGAAGGCATCACGAAAGTTAGCAGAATTTAATGAGGCCCTTATTCGGTCAACGTTTCAGGTTAAGTTCTCTGCCCGAGTTCCGGGTTCGATTCCCTATACATGCTTAGTGTGTGGAGCCCATCCGAGTCAGCCTCAAGCTGAAGCAATATCAGTAAATTCCCACGATGGTACTGTCGTTCTACTCATGGTATCAAAAGGAGGGTACGCGTGGCCCAATTGTCTACGGCGCCACAGACGCAGGGTTTGAATCGCAGGGTTCGAATCCCGGCTCGCGATGATTGTGTTTCTAGGTTTGTCAATTAAATCTCTAAATACTTTATCGTTGCCAGTTTCCGAAGCACGTGGCCATAGGTTTCTGGAACGTCAACACCAACACCAACTACACCTTTGACTGGTACGGGGTGTACCTCATCAGTCAATGTTCTTTTGCCAGTGTCCTCACCGACGACAGTCTTCTCTGGTGCAATCAAGGCGCCGTCTGTGTGACGGATGGAATCAAAGACAAGTTCCTGCCCGAGAACAAAGGACAGATGTCTCCCATGGCAACCATGACAGGTAGGAACAGGTAGTTCTGGCATATGTCTCTCATAGCAACCTAGACAGGTAGGAACAGACAGTCAAGATAGATGTCTCTCATGGCAACCATGATAGGTAGGAACAGACAGTCAGGATACATGTCTCTCATATCAACCTAGACAGGTAGGAACAGACAGTCAGGATACATGTCTCTTATAGCAACCTAGACAGGTAGGAACAGACAGTCAGGATACATGTCTCTTATAGCAACCTAGACAGGTAGGAACAGACAGTCAAGATACATGTCTCTCATATCAACCTAGACAGGTAGGAACAGACAGTCAGGATACATGTCTCTTATAGCAACCTAGACAGGTAGGAACAGACAGTCAAGATACATGTCTCTTATAGCAACCTAGACAGGTAGGAACAGACAGTCAGGATACATGTCTCTTATAGCAACCTAGACAGGTAGGAACAGACAGTCAGGATACATGTCTCTTATAGCAACCTAGACAGGTAGGAACAGACAGTCAAGATACATGTCTCTCATAGCAACCTAGACAGGTAGGAACAGACAGTCAGGATACATGTCTCTCATAGCAACCATGATAGGTAGGAACAGACAGTCAGGATACATGTCTCTTATAGCAACCATGACAGGTAGGAACAGACAGTCAGGATACATGTCTCATATAGCAACCTAGACAGGTAGGAACAGACAGTCAGGATACATGTCTCTTATAGCAACCTAGACAGGTAGGAACAGACAGTCAGGATACATGTCTCTTATAGCAACCTAGACAGGTAGGAACAGACAGTCAGGATACATGTCTCTCATAGCAACCATCATAGGTAGGAACAGACAGTCAAGATACATGTCTCTCATAGCAACCTGGACAGGTAGGAACAGACAGTCAAGATACATGTCTCTTATAGCAACCTAGACAGGTAGGAACAGACAGTCAGGATACATGTCTCTTATAGCAACCTAGACAGGTAGGAACAGACAGTCAGGATACATGTCTCTTATAGCAACCTAGACAGGTAGGAACAGACAGTCAGGATACATGTCTCTCATAGCAACCATCATAGGTAGGAACAGACAGTCAAGATACATGTCTCTTATAGCAACCTAGACAGGTAGGAACAGACAGTCAGGATACATGTCTCTTATAGCAACCTAGACAGGTAGGAACAGACAGTCAGGATACATGTCTCTTATAGCAACCTAGACAGGTAGGAACAGACAGTCAAGATACATGTCTCTCATAGCAACCTAGACAGGTAGGAACAGACAGTCAGGATACATGTCTCTCATAGCAACCATGATAGGTAGGAACAGACAGTCAGGATACATGTCTCTTATAGCAACCATGACAGGTAGGAACAGACAGTCAGGATACATGTCTCATATAGCAACCTAGACAGGTAGGAACAGACAGTCAGGATACATGTCTCTTATAGCAACCTAGACAGGTAGGAACAGACAGTCAGGATACATGTCTCTTATAGCAACCTAGACAGGTAGGAACAGACAGTCAGGATACATGTCTCTCATAGCAACCATCATAGGTAGGAACAGACAGTCAAGATACATGTCTCTCATAGCAACCTGGACAGGTAGGAACAGACAGTCAAGATACATGTCTCTTATAGCAACCTAGACAGGTAGGAACAGACAGTCAGGATACATGTCTCTCATAGCAACCATGACAGGTAGGAACAGACAGTCAGGATACATGTCTCTCATAGCAACCTAGACAGGTAGGAACAGACAGTCAAGATAGATGTCTCTCATAGCAACCATGACAGGTAGGAACAGACAGTCAGGATACATGTCTCTTATAGCAACCATGACAGGTAGGAACAGACAGTCAGGATACATGTCTCTCATAGCAACCTGGACAGGTAGGAACAGACAGTCAAGATACATGTCTCTTATAGCAACCTAGACAAGTAGGAACAGACAGTCAAGATACATGTCTCTCATAGCAACCATGACAGGAGGCAACAGATGGCCTTGCCAGGGGTACCATGACTCATGACAGGGGCGAATCTCAACACGTTGATCCTTGACCATATGGCCACCACTGTCCTTCGTTATCCCATAGGAATACTGTCACATATTTTTGGTCGTTCCAGGGTCCCAGTTTAACCAGTATACTGACTGGATCGAGCATGAAAATGATACGAACATTGAGTGTGGTGGCAGCAATGTTCTTGATACTGCAGGTAAGGCTATTCTCCAAAACAAAGAAAGGGTCGTTATCGGTAAGAAACTTTGTATGCTAAATCAAAAGTTGCGATCAAGTAGTCAATGATTGTAACACCCAGTTGATGACTATACCCCGAGGTTCTATCAATGCGACCAACTGCTTTGTCAGGGCCTAAATTGTAGATTTCAATGTTTGTTTTTTGTTTGTTGTTAACGCCTCATTCAGGAACATTCCAGCTATGTGACGGCGGCCTGAAACTCATCGACCAGGCGTTCGATGATAGACATCATGAGCATCGATTCATGTAATAACCAAACCTTGCTTCTTCCTGCAATCATACGTTGCTGGGGACCTATATTCTTACCCCGTTTTGCAGTGCACAAGTCTTTTGATTTGACCTAGATGTGGCCTTAATGTGACCTTGACTAACATCACACGTGCAGCTTTGATACCCAAGCTATTTGAGACAGAAAAGTACTACAGAAATGTATATTTTACTGGAAATACTGGAGATTGTTTGAGTTTCAACAGGACAACGCCCGTCCCCACACTACTCGTGTCTCCAAGAATATGCTGCGGGCTAGACAAATCCAACTGCTACCAAGTCCCGAATAGAGCCTTAATAATCTTCACGAGGCAAGGGAGTAAACTGACTATAAAAGTGCAGTTTCCACCCTTTCCGAACTAGACTTTCATAGTCAGTTAACTCCCTTGCCTCGTGAAGATGAGCCCCAGTGAGCATCTGTCGGATGTTCTTGGTTGTCGTGTCAAAGAACCCATGCTGCAGCCTGTCTGTTCCTAGCTCTCCTAGATGAATGGTGCTGCATTCCAAGAGCTACCACAATAAGCGTAATATGGAGTGAGTGATTTGGGTTTAACGCCGCTTTCAACAGCGGCGTGTCAGCTTAATGTGGGAGGAAAGCCCGAAGTGATGCAGGTCTCAGACATTTAGCACTTCGGGGAAACCCACGAGCACGGGTATGGGCTGGTGCTGACAAACCTAGAAACATAATAGGGGCGAACAGGGATTCGAACCCACAATCATAGGTTTCTGGCGTGCCCAAGGGACACAACTCTGCACAGCGAATCGCGGCGCCTTGGACGACTGGGCCACCCGTGCCCCCGCGTAATATGGAGCTAGACAGTTGTCCAGAGTCTTGGGGGCACACACGTTGCTAACATACAGTATTGTGACACCTAAGTATCATTGTGGTAAATGTTGTTCTCCATGGTAGTAAAATGAATTTCTCTTCATATTAATGCTAACATCTAGTCTCTGAAATGAAAATATTTACAGAAAAAAACCAGAAAATTCTTATAGACTTACTGTGGATTTGATGGAAAGATGTATTAAATTCATGCATTCCTTGTTTTTGTCCATCCGTATAGAATCGAACCTGTCACTGCACTCTTGAAATCTCTGCTAACACTAATCCTTTTTTTATTCATATCACACTAATTTTATTCCACTTTTTAAAGGTTCAACTTTCTGGTTTCTTTCCAACGACTGCGGCAGTTTTATAAACAGATCTTACCAAGCATTGTCGGATATCGGAGTCACTTTCAACACGGGCGCTAAGGCAGACTACACCATGATGGTAAGCCATGGACCAGAACCGACATTTCTCGGGAAATCTTCGGTAATCTTCGGCTCAGGACGGGACGACTCGTTGGCCAAGAACATCACTAACTTCTACCGCCAGTTTAACAACACATTCGGTGGACACAATTCAGCGAAAAATAATCATATTGCGCAGGAGTATGCTGCGACGCACGGCGGTTTATATGTTCATATGAACACTGAATATTGGTTTGCACCTCTTGTTGAACCGTATCTAAGCATTGTACAATTAACTATCGATTTGCCCTAATGTGACCGCCTCCGTGGTTTAGTGGGTAGAGCGCTTGCCTGGAGAGAGGAAGGTCGGTGGTTCGATCCCCGACTGCGTCCTATCAAAAGACGTTTAAATATGGTACTTGTTTTTTCCCTGCCTGGTGCTCGGCATTAAGGGGCTAAAACAAGGATTCGGAGTCAGTATACTGTGTCTGAGAGGGGTACCCATGTTAAACTGCGGCATGGTATCTCAGTTCGTTAGAACTATCAAACCCGAATTTGTGAAGCATAACAGTGGCTTTGACCTCTTACTATCCCGTAGAATACAACATGTGTTGTGTGTTAAAGTGTACTGTGGGGTATTTATGGTGTATTAGGTGGATAGGTGTGCCGAAATTATCGATCTCGGGTAATCGACTGCTGTGTCTCAGAATATAAGTTAACTTAATTTTGGGGGCGGGCGTTTGTGTGCGTGTGGTTTGTATTAGGTTTGTTTTGGGTTTTGGGAGGTGCAGTAATTTAGTGTTATTCTTTATGCTTCTCATCATCTTCTGTGATAATAAACCCTATCATGTACCAATTTGTGTTCCTTGCTGTGTGTATGGATATGACCTCTTCGTGATCGAGTGGGGGAGAGTTTACCTTTTGATTTGTAGTCCTCTACTTGTCCTATAGAGACCGTTGTCGTTACAAATGTCAATTTTCTTAGACCTATTCGACCGCCCCCGTGGTCTAGTGGTAGAGCGTCCGCCCGGAGAGCGGAAGGTCTGGGGTGTGATCCTCGGTTGCGTCCGAGGATACGTTAAAAGATGGTACTTGTTGTAACCCTGTCTGGCGCTCGGCATTAAGGGGCTAAAACAAGGACTGGTCGGCTCGGAGTCTAGTGGTCTAGTGGTAGAGCGTCCGCCCCGAGAGCGAAAGGTCAGGGGGTTCGATCCCCGGGCGCGTCGTATCAAAAGACGTTACTAGTTTTTACCATGTCTGGCGCACGGCATTAAGGGGTTAAAACAAGGACTGGTCGGCTCGGAGTCAGTATACTGTGTCTGAGTTGGGTATTCATGTTAAACTGCGGCGTGGTATCTCAGTGAGCTGGCACTATAAATCGGCATCAGTCCGGACAACAAGCAGCCACACACACACACACACACACACACACACACACACACACACACGTGCATGCACGTCGCTATAAAAGTGCAATAATTTTGGACGCGACGTTAAACCCAATTTTACCTCACCTATGGATGTGGTTGCATGTTGATATCGCATTCAGGCTTGGCGGTGTTTGTTTCGCCATTTCTCAATTCACGAGTGAGAAAGTGAGTCAGTTTTGCTTTATACAGTATGTTACTTATGACACTGCGCGCCAGCTTAATGTGACGATGGTTGTAAAAGTTCCCTTTGGTGAAACCTACAACCACGGACATGGTGCTGACAAAAGCTGTGCGTAACGGGATTCGAACCCACGACCTTCAGTGTCGCTTCTCTGAACACCGAATCGGGCACGGGTGGCCCATGCAGTCGTCTAAGGCGCCGCAATTCGCTGTGCAGAGTTTCGTCACTTGGAAACGCCAGAAACCTTTGATTGTGGGTTCGAATCCTGGTTCACCCCGATTATGTTTCTAGGTTTGTCAGCACCATACCCGCCCTCGGGGGTTTCACCGAAGTGGTAAACGTCTGAGACCTGCATCACTTAGGGTATCCTCCCACATTAAGCTGTCACGCCGTGATATAAATGGAACACTGTTCAAAGCGGCGTTAAACCCAACTCACTCACTCACTGAACATTGAATCGATTCGCTTTAGATCTCCGCATCCAATTCATGAATCACATGTGCACAGGGTAATAATGGATCCAATAAAAATCACCATTGTAATATTGAAATACAGACGAATTCATCAGATGATTCATACGACTAATAACAGTTCATGCCATGAACGCGCAGATGGGTTCAGGACGGTCACCACTAAAAATATTCATTCAAATCAAACACAATTATTTATTGACGAAGTAATTACATCTTGTATACCATACCACGATCTGGGCTTTTGTCACGGCTGTCATAACAGGTTGTCATGCCGTATGTCTGAAAACATACCACAGTGTGAATATACAATTATAAATTTATAAGCGTGAACTGTATAAAGTTGGTTGGTTGGTTGGTTTGTTGTTTAACGCCGCACTCAGCATTATTCAAACTATATGACGGCGGTCTGTAAATAATCGAGTCTGGACCAGACAATCTTGTAATTAATATCATGAGCATCGATCTACGCAATTGGGAGCGATGACATGCATCAACCAAGTCAGCGAGCCTGACCACCCGATCCCGTTAGTCGCCTTTTACGACAAGCATAGTCACCTTTTACGGCAAGTATGGGTTGCTGAAGACCTATTCTACCCATAAATCTTCACGGGGCGAACTATATAAAGTCAAAATGAGTTTAATCAGACTTTGTTAATCGAATAGTGCACGATCGGCATCTTTACTATCATAACACACACACACACACACACACACACACACACTAAAAAGATGTTTTAAGTGTGGTATAATGAAAGAATCGGCTGCTCTTTAACTTATTTTGAGTAGTATATATGTTATAGCTAAACAATGACATCGCATTATCTCTCAATACTGCTTCAAACGACGTATGTGGTGACAACGGAACCTATTTGTGGTAATAAATCAGTTATCTCCGTGTTGTTTTCAAACCTGACTATAAATGCAAAACATGGCAATTTCAGTGTGACGAAAATGCTCTTTATCTATGTAGACTGTAGACGGTATTAAATGTATCTGAAAACCTTTGAACCCTTATCTTGTATACATGGACCCCGAGTTGTACACCGCTAAAGTAGCCCACGGTAGTATACAAGCACGTGTTGTCATTTGATCATGTGGGTCACACAAATGAATCTGCACCTGACCTTCAAAATGGCGGCTGTCGGGAGGCTTGTGTTGATGTGGTCATGTCTCGCTGTCACTGGAATAGCATCAGCCATAGAATGGCCAGTCCCATATCGGTAAGACGGCGTGTCACTATTGTGACCATGTTCAGAGTTGTGTTACAGAGACTTGGAAAGGTAAAGTCGTGAGTAGCGTGTGTTTTTCCTGTCATATCGGGTACGTGGCGTGGCCCAGTGGGTGAAGCGTTGGCTCGTCACTCTGAAGGGCCGGGTTCTAATTCCTACATGGGTACAAAGCGTAAAGGTGAGGTGAAATGGGGTTTTACGTTTCGTCCAAGATTATTTCGCTTACATAGAGACATGCATGCATGTGGCTGCTTGTACTAGTCCGGACTGATGCCGATTTTATAGTGCTAGCCCACTGAGATGCCATGCCGCAGTTTAACATGGATACCCCACTCAGACACAGTATTCTGACTCCGAGCCGACCAGTCCTTGTTTTAGTCCCTTAATGCCGAGCGCCAGACAGGGTAACAACAAGTACCATCTTTTAACGGTATGACGCGGCCGGGGGTCGAACCCATGACCTTTCGCTCTCTGGGCACACGCTCTGCCATTCGACCACGGAGGCGGTCCCACAAAGTGTGAAGACCATACTTGGTGTCCTCAGCGTTATATGGCCGGAATACTTCAGTATCCTACAACAGGCAGCTCATGGATGGATGAGATTTTGTATCCCAAACAAATTGGGTACCCAAGTGATTTGTACCCAAAATCCTTGGTGATAATTTTTATTTTTATATTGTATATGGGGAACAGTGAGTGAGTGAGTATGGTTTTACGCCGTTTTTAGCAATATTTCAGCAATATCACGGCGGGAACAATAGTAACATGAAAATGAAACATTATATCACTTTTTATATTACTACAGTAAACTACGGTTATTACGAACATAAAGGGACCACTAAATTTAGTTCGTAATAACCGTAGTTCGTTATAAGCACATATACAGCATTGCTACAGCAAATGAACGGGGCTAAACAAAGTACGTTATATCCGTCAGTTCGTTATAAGCGTGTTCGTATAAACGTAGTTTACTGTACTAAAATAATGCTTATGTCTCAAGTCAAGAAGTCACAAGTCAAGCACCATATAATCACTATATAGATCAACACGTTTCTGCACAATCTACAACAAGCCTGGCAGCTGAGTTGTTGGTTTTTGATAGGAATGAGACATCTTGTCACTGTAAAAATAGGCCAGTTAAGTTGTTTTGTTTTGAGAGGAATCAAGTAAACTCCTTGAATTTTGTCAACCCTATTGACGTAGTATGCCAAAAGTCCTATTAGTGTTTTTTGTCAATAATGGTTGAATAAAAACGTAACTTATATTTGAAACTAATGAAAGCGTTCGTGAACAATTAGATGGGTACAAAATCATTTCATCCACAACTTATCCGTGAATTTGTCGGGTTTTTTAGTCACGGGGCATTTTTTGTGTGTTTATGTTTCCATAAACCACACCTACTACCGGACTACTGATTGGCTGGTAATAGAGTGGGTGGGGCTCGTGTTGCATTATTGCGCAGAACGATGTCACCAAGTTCGTGTCATTTTCTACATTGTTAATGATTAAATAAGCAGTCTGTAAAGTTACTATTGTTGATTTATTTATTTGTAAGAATTATCTTTAATGTTATTTGCATTTATGGGGGTATAAATGTGAATACCTGTTTGAACACTTTGCATGTCTGCGGTTTACAGTGCGTTGCTCACGGGTTTCACCTCCACAAACGAAAAAAGTCAATTTAAAAATATTCCATTTGGCAAACCAGTAATTTATAGCATAAGCACAACGTCAGGTTATGGGGGCATGCGCTAAAAGCATGTGACACATTGTGACGACCTGATTTTAGTACTGAGGTCCTTTTCTACTGTACTAAATACTAATATTTAAAACTGAAAGAGTGTGCGTCACTCTGAATGGTGCGGGGTGCTGATACAAGATCACAAAGTCGATAAGGGTTCTTGTCGTAAGAGGCCACTACCGGGATCGGGTGGTCAGGCTGGCTGACTTGGTTTGATGCATGTCATCGTATTCCATTTGCATAGATCGATGCTCATGAGATCAATCACTGGATTATCTGGTCCAGAATCGATTATTTACAGACCGCCGTCATATAGCTTGAGACCCGTGAAGATCCGGGGTAGAATAGATCTTCAGTAACCCATACTTGCCATGTCATCGATCCCAATTGCGTGGATCACAGGACCATGTAACTAATTATAACAATAAAAAAAATTAAAAACTCGCAAAAAAATCATAGCCTTAGGTCTCGTCAATGTTTTTTTTATTTTTATTGTTATAATTAGTTACATGGTCCTGTGCTTGGATCGATCCTCATGATATTAATCATTGGATTGTCTGGTCCAGACTCGATTATTTACAGACCGCCGTCATATAGCTGGAATATTGCTGAGTGCGGCGTTAAACAACAAACCAAACAACCAATCATATAGCTGGAATATTGCTGAGTGAGGCGTTAAGCAACAAACCAACCAACCAATCATTCAGCTGGAATATTACAGAGTGTGGCGTTAAACAAAACAAAGAACAGGAACCATATACCAAAACATCGTCTCAAACGATATATTTTGTTAATTAATATATTTTGAATGAATGAGGCTTCACTATACATTTGTAATTTTGTAGACGGTTTTCGTCCCGACCCCCAGCAAATCCGTACTGCCAGGCAGGGGTGATCCCGTTCTGCCCCACGGGGCGAGAAGCCAACACCATGCCGACCTTCCAGGCCACTGACATTATAGAGGTGTATGCCCTGAAGGCGCCAGTCTGGGAGTTCAAGTTTGGTGACCTGCTTGCCAAGTTTGTAAGCACAAAGCATCATTTTAAAGAAATTGAATGGAATAGGTTCTGTAGCTCACCTTGAGTTTTTTTTGAAAATGTGCCAGTATTGATAAATTAGTACAATGTTTTAATTGTTTCTGTTCAAACCTTCGTATTGGTGCATTATATGTCTTTATTGTTGTTTGCAAATCTTTTGTATCGTTTTTTTTAAGACATACATTTACGTTTGTCTCTATAAAAAGAACTATAAATGTTGATGTCACGTGACAGTTTACTTTCCACTGTACTGTGTGGTCTACAATAAAGTTTTGTTTATACCTCATGGTGGTCAATTCCCTGTAATTGGAAGTTTGCTTTCGTTTCGCTTCAGACTTCATGATATCTATTAAAAAAATAATTACTTTAATCACTCGTGATGGGAATATATGTCAGATAACGAACATACAATGCAATTTAGAAAGTGGTCATATGTAACAGATGTTAAATGTGAGATAAAGATTCTTGTACCTTTTTTGGTTGAGTCCCATCCGGCGATGCCGGCGATTAGATGCTTCTCTCTGGCAGTGTGGGTTCGAATCCCGGACGGGACTCAACCCCCCAAAATACTAGAATCTGTACTTTACTGAGAAAGTGTTATCACAAATATAGCTTTTGTCATATATGTCAGACTGTTTAGTAAACACAATATCACTGCATATAAGAACAAGTTAATGGACGTTTGTTATTTTTATTTTTTTTATGTCAGTTGTCAAAAATGATGGTAACGTACCTCAGACATCCTTTCTCTTCTTGCAAATCCAAAACCATCCAATCCAAGTTAGCGCCCAGGTTCCGTTCAGATAAGGATCACACAGTAAATTGTTATACCTGGATTTCCTTCTGATCTATAAACGTTACCAGTAGTACAGCAACGGACTTCTCTCCTACTTCAGCACATCATGCACGACGCCATAGGCTTCAAGAACCTGAACACCGGCCTCAACTACACCATGGAGTGGTACGAACTGTTCCAGCTGTTCAACTGCACATTCGCCCACGTGCTGCCAAATAAAACCCTGGAGTGGTGCAACCAGGGCGCCACCTGCATTTACGACGGCATCGACGACATCCACTGGTCACAGAACGGCACCCTCGCCAAGGTGGCGGACATAACCGGTATGCAAACATGGGAAAGAGTGATGGAATGTTGTTTAACGCTGCAGTCAGCAGTAATGTAGTTATATCACAGGCTGGGTAAAACCAAAGGTTGATAGCATGGCAACGCCCAAAGCCGTTGGGTTACGATTATACGCAATAAACTAAGTGTCAATACTTGACCATCCGATTCTCAATTTAGGCGGAGCCAACATGAGGCTCTGGTCTATTCATCCTCGGGTTCTCCACGGGTTATAGTAGAAGTGAGTGAGTGAGTGAGTGAGAGAGTGAGTGAGAGTTTGGTTTTACGCCGCTTTTAGCAACATTCCAGCAATATCACGGCGGGGGACACCAGAAATGGGCTTCACACATTGTACCCATGTCGGGATTCGAACCCGGGTCTTCGGCGTGACGAGCGAGCGCTTGAACCACTAGGCTACCCGACCGCCCCTTCAGTAGAAGAATGGGGCGGGGTATGGTTTTTGGTACGGAGGACTTGGAGAAACTGTTTTGCCGCTATTACAAAAAACAATTCATCGACTTGTCCAATATGTTGTTTCCGACGGCGTCAAAATGGTCGACTATACGAGGACCAACTCGCATCGTCGGGGTACGATCGAATTCTAACCCCGATTTTCACAGGGGGTTAATCAGTTAATGAAAGTGCATGTATCTTTCTATCTGCACCAGGTCAGATGTTTAACGACTTTGCGCAGTGGACCCTGTGGGACAACAAGACGGGGATTTTCTATGAAACGTGGACAGTTGAAAATGAACCAGGTAACGATGAACGCCGTAGACACTTAAAACGTTTAAACGTCATGCGACTACTGTCATCAACTGCATTGGTCAAATACAAGATCTTTGATGCCGAAAAAATTCATCAGCCAAGAAAACCCACAAAATATGTTTGGGTGAATTGTAATTCTTAGGAAGTGGTCATTCAAAGGTAGGATGTAAGTTAAACGATAAATATTTATTGAAACATTACCGTGGTTGTCAAATGCTCTATCAGATGTCTATGAGAGTCAGTAGTATCAGCATGTGTTCAACGATTAATTATTGTCACAGCTACATGACCATGGCCCCGTTCAACAAGACCATATAACTCCCATACTTTAACATAGGCAATCGTAGGGCTAACGCCGCTTTGTGGAAGGGCCCTTGCATTTCAACCACGTCAAGTCCGCACCCCAATACCGGTGATGCAACCGCGTCTAATAGTCCTGCATCTTAGAATTTGTTCAAGTGTGCAGTTTGTGATTCTTTAGTATAAATGTGAAAAGATACGAAATAAAAAAATAGAATATCATTAGCAAAGGGTGCAGCCATCTTGGAACAATATAGAACATTATACCGACAGATCGCCGTGTGCACTGGACCATATTAATAGCCTTTCCTAATGACATTTTTTGGTCTATTTATGCATGGTAACATGTCAAATGTCATATTTCATGTTCACTTTCTTATTACAGGTGGAAAAATGTGGTTCGATTCCTTTGACTGTGCCAGTTTCGTCTTGAGAGCGTTTCAGAAAATTGGGGACCTTGGAGGAAAGTTCAACAATAGCGTTCACCTAAATTACACCCGTATTCATCTCTATAGCAACGAGCCTCAGTATCTAGGCAACGCCAGTACTTTATTTGGTCCCGGTCAGAACCAGACCCTTGTGAACGACATGCTGGCCTTCTATGGCCATTTCCAGTCTCACCAATCCATCGGCCACTTGATGGAGAGTCTAGCCGAGGCTTACGAGGAGGTGTATACAAGTCATCGCTTTTACTTCTTCTATAATTTCGAGTACTGGTTCCTGCCAATGGTGGAGCCTTATATTAAGCTTACTTACTATGACGTGCCTCTGCCTGGTACCCAAGGATATAGAAGACTCCCTGATTATTGAGGATGCTTCGGCAAATGTATACACACTTACTTCTTTGTTTAAAAGGTAGATTATTGTTTGGCAATTGTATTTCTGTTTTCTTCCATGTACGTTTTCAAGCCTGAAACACCCATAGCAAGAACACATGTGGAGGATTACTGCCGTTATATTTTGTATTTGTTTGTTTTTGGTTGTTTAACCCCGCACTCAGCAATATTCCAGCTACTCGTATGACGGCAGTATGTAAATAATTCAGGGCATGATCAGCTGGTTTGCTGTTTAACATTTCAGTACATCAGTAACATTTCTCACTGGGTTACATACTCAACTACCCTTGAAGATCCGGGATAGAACAGGTCTTCAGCAACCCATGCTTGCTGTAAAATGCGACCATGCTTGTCATTAGTTACCAGGGATCAGGTGGTGAGGGGATCGGGTGGTCAGGCTCGCTGACTTGGTTGATGCATGTCATCATATCCCAATTGTGTGGATCGATGCTCATGATGTCAAACACTGGATTGTCCGGTCCAGACTTGATTATTTACAGACCGGTCATAAAACTGGAATATTGCTGAGTGCGGTGTTAAACAACAAACAAACAAAAAACTTTCTCAACCAAGCCCAGGAAGAAAGTTTGAGGTTGGAAGCCCAGACCTGACTCTTGAGAGGATAAGACTGCTACTTGAATAATCAATACACACACCCTTCAATGATAACAAAACATTCAAATTGAACACAAAATATTATTTATTATGACAGGAAACATGAACACTTTGTACAACATGTCTACATTCAGTTTGAGACAAAAATATGTGACCCAATAAATACATGACCTCTGGAAGGCAGATGAACCGTAGGCATGGGGTAACAAAACAAATAATGCACACAGTGGTTCTCGAAAACAGGACCCAGCTGTTTCAGAACTCAGGATACGCTTCATTAAGCAACAGCTGGGCTTTCAAAAATAGTCAAACCAATAATGAATATCAGAATGTTATCAAGTAATAAAGGATTTCATTTTCTTGCAAATTAGCCTGTTTTTGTGTTGCAGAAACAGTGTGCTGGGAAGACTAGTTGCATTGACTGAGAAAGTGCTGTTGGAAACATCTTACACATTACACGTCTAGTCACAGATATCACCCAACACACGCACACTACTGTCAATAGTAGAATTTCTTTTTGATGTTTTATGTGGAAGAAATATGAGCAATCCATTACGCTTGTAAATAATTGAAGTAATGACTTACCATAATACATTATAATATATACCACTCCACTTTTGACAGGGATATTTTTATCTTTCCATGATACACAATTATATTATTCTCATAATATGGCAAGTGTATATACATGTATAAGGCTTGCTAAATACAATGTTTATTCCTAATAGGGATATTTACCCTCCAAAAACACACTTGTGTGATAACCTCTATATATCTGATTATCCCTCTCAAAAGTTGAGTAGCATATTCTTCCATAATTCCATTATATCTATGCCAGATTGACTTAACAGAGATGGAGCAAGTGTATCCGTAATGCATTCGAGAAGAGTGACTAACTTATTGTCTTGATGCATAGTGGCCTAGACACAAAATAGATGAGGGAAAAGTGCTGCACCAGCAGTAAGTTAATGCTAAGTACTGTGACTGAGATGGACTGGAAGTAATACTGTCTGTTTTGATAAATGGAGACCTATACAAAATGTAAACTTGATCAAGATGACCATTGCTCCCTTGGTAGACATGGCGGAATGTTTAGAACATGATGTTATGAGGCGGGCAAAGGGAAAGAAATATTTCCACAGAGGCAGAAAAGTTGAATTAAAGACTGATAAATATAAAACAAGTACATTTTTTAAGGTTGTATAGCTGATAAGCATTTGTTATTTTGTTTAGCATTATAAACATTGGCTACCCTTTCGTTCAGTCCTGGGCACGCTTGTACAAAGCGACCTTAGCGCTAAGATGATCGTAACTCCAATAATTTAACATAGGCTTACAATAGTCGTAGCACTAAGATCGCTTTGTGCAAGTGGGCCCTGGTTACCATTATCTTATGTTTGACAAGCATGGGAACCGTATACAGTTCCTTATGTAGCACTGCCATTGATAAATATATTGAATAAATACATCGGGAATACCAAATGTGCAACAGGAAACAGAATTCATAAACTATTTAAACGTGTCATCATGTTCAAGACTTGGAGACAAGAAATAAGTCTACCAACATGACAATTATTGTACAATACTCCTAATATCAAAATGAATGAAGTCATTGACAATTTTGGCAATTTGTTTTCTCACTAAACCAAGACTTGTATAACGACAAAAACAATTAAGGTTCTGTGAATGAAGCATGGCATAGTTGACAATATTTTATCAAATAGTTAACAAATGTGATGAGAGCTGAATTGGTTTTATCTGAAATTCCAATGTCTGAGTCAGCTGGATTTACTTACAATATGTTTTTTTCCCATGTGGCCCAACAACCCAGAAAGCCAAGCCCCTTGTTTGACAAATACATTGAATCCAAAGCTAACCACTTTAAACTTGGAGAAAGATGTTGAGTCATCGTCAATACTTCATAGGATTGTATACACAACGTTCTATAACCTGTTAATACATACACTCGTCTCGCGAGCACACACTCAGGACTGCTTCGGTTCAGCGGATGTTATTGTACGCGACTCAGTTCTACACCTTGCTTCAATGTCAGACAATGGCCACGATATTAGCCAAATATATTTACAAGTTATGGAGGAAGATTGTGTTGAGCTCATGAAGTATTGCCGATGATGATATTGAGGTTGCAAAGACGTATTGCATAAGTGCACCAGTGTTGCATTTCAACAGCAGTTCATGAGAGGCCATATGTAGAATAGGATGTGTGAAAAGTTGATGTCATGATACTGTCCATGTGGTTTAATATCGAATCAGAAATTATTTACTTGTATGTTAAACACTTTTCTTTCCCACTCTTTCAGTAATCTGAGGTTAACACAAAGTTGATCGGCATCCAATGTTTCTGATGAACAAAAATGAGTTATCTCCCCTGAAAACTATGAAATGATTCTGTCCTACAAATGCTTGCATCTTAAGATTGCACCCAGAATCAGCATCATAAAATGACATTGCAACTTTTGACACACCCATGGTGACCAACGTCCAGATCTGTCAATGATACCAGGCTGCCTCACTGTCTGGGCGACGCCCACTCGTTTGTGTGTCGCTGAATGACTCCTATATACAGTCTATGTACATAGATACATCAGTATAAGCTTGTCTTCTTCATTATCCTTAAGAATTCCTCCTGATTGATTTCACCATCACCGTCCCTGTCAGCTTCATCAATCATTTCCTGAAAAACACAAATTCAAACCATACCTACTTTAAAAGGTTCCTTATTATCATGATTATGTTTGTCACCTCAATCATTAAAGCAGTGTTTGGAATTAAGGGGGTCCGGGGGTCCTTGAGGTCTTCTCCTGTTGTATTTGAATCTAGGGACCCCAAAACCTTTAACTTTAAACATTAAGGGACCTGTGAAGATCCGGGGTAGAATAGTTCTTCAGCAACCCATGCTTGCTGTAAGAGGCAATTATGTTTGTCGTAAGAGGCGACTAATGGGATTGGGTGGTCAGGCTCGCTGACTTGGTTGACTTGGTTGATGCATGTCATCGTATCCCAAATGCGTCGATCGATGCTCATGATATCAATCACTGGATTGTCTGGATCAGACTTGATTATTTACAGTCTGCAGTCATATAGCTGGAATATTACTGAGTGCGACGTTATACAACAAACAAACAAACTAAACATGAAGGTTATAACAAGGTCCCCTTACATGCAGAATTTCGAAGGGTATAACTTGAATAAAATGTGGGTCACCCCTTGTCTTCGAGGTAATCAGTGGGTTCCTATGTTGATTTTCTTTTGCTAAAATTGAAACTTCTGAAACAAGGTGTTAAAGAAATGAAGCCAAATCATTTTGGAAAGCCAACTGTCTCAAGAAACATGCATCCCTCACTTTGACTGGGCGGTCAAAGGTCAATCTGGCTTCATCTAACGTGATCTTTGAAGGTCCTCACATCTTAATGCAGACAGAAATTGTATCAGAGCAAAAGATCAGATTGGAATAAGATTGAGTACCTCACTCATTTCCTATTGAGGGGAAATACCAACAAAAGATAAAACACCGGTACTTCTCTACAATCCTATCTCAGTAACCATGGTAACCAACCTGCAGTTCTTCATCCGTGAGATTTTCTCCTAATTCTTTGGCAACACGTTTGAGGTTTTTGAAAGATATTTTTCCCGTCTCATCATCATCAAACAGACGGAAGGCCTTGAGAATCTCCTCCTTGGCATCCTTCTCGCTCATCTTCTGCGTCATCAGCGTCAGGAAGTCATTGAAGTCAATTGTGCCTGGAACAATGGGCAATGTCTTTCAGTCTGCGTTCAGACTCACCATTCCTCAATATACTCACCCATTCAACAAAATACAGCCAAATATTTCAGATATTAGACATGCTTGATCAGTGGTGGCAAGGTGAGCTAAACCCTAGAGTGAGTGAGTGAGTGAGTGAGTTAAAATTTTAAGTCACATTGCCAAACCCTAGAGGTCAGAAAGACAGCTAAAATTCTTCACAAACCGTCTGAAACCTAAGTTCAACACATTCTATTGGAAAACACTTCAACAGTTGACAATGAATATTGGCAGACCTTATTATGATTAAGCACTGTGCACTGAAGTCAAATGTATATTACCCGTTCACTGATGTTATTTTGTCATCCGTTTAGCCTATATGGCAGTTTACTGCCTTGTGTTACTTTCTAACAGAAATGCTTTGAACTCAAGTTTCAGAAAGACTATTGTTTTCAATCCAACATAAGATATATACACTCGGTTTAGTTACTGTCTTGTATGGGTGGCCAGTGATGAGTCATAGCAAGCTTTAAACATGGCAAACACAATTTTAAACATACAACACATATTCAATGACAATAATCTCATCAAGCTTCAACTTGCTCCACATGTTCAAACTGTAAAGTGAATCAATGTGAAAACAGCCACCTTTGTTCAGCAATTCCTAATTACCACATTGAAACATAACTAGCAGGTAATAAAGTAGGTTCTTTCACTAACCAGTCCATTACTCATTTAGAGTAACTCATATTTACCTCATGGTTCATTCATAATGCCGACCTAATGTTTTGTTGATTATAAACTAAAGCCATGTGATTTCATCAACATGGTCATGAGAAAAGTGAAATTCTGTGACTCCAAAACATTTTCAATCATCATCAAAATATCTTACCTGTTCCTTCTTTGTCAATATCAGCAATCATTTTCTTAATTTCTTCTTTTTTTGGCTCAAAGCCTAATGCTCTCATTGCAACCTACAATGAAACATGAATATATATGATATTGACATTAAGAGCATAAAAAGGGGTCCTTTTTGTCTTGTCATAACACCAATGTTTAATGTTAAAGGTTTTTTTTTGGTTGGTTTGTTGTTTAACGTTGCACTCAGCAATATTCCAGCTATATGACGGCGGTATGTATTTAATCAAGTCTGGACCAGACAATCCAGTCATTGACATCATGAGTATCAATCTACGCAATAGGGATACGATGTAATGCATCAACCAAGTCAGTGAGTCTGACCACCCGATCCTGTTGGTCGCCTCCTATGACAAGAATCCATAGATTCAAATACCAGAGAAGACCTCAAAGACTCCAAGACACACACACCATACCTTAATGTAGAAAGAACTCTGTGCAACACATCCTAATATGTGAATAATATTTAGAGTATAAATTATCCCTGATCTGTCCTCATAATTAATCATCAACCAGTGAATCATGGTACATAAAATGAGCAAAGGAGACCACAACTTTTTAACATCAAAGAAATTGAGGTACAGCAACTCTACAGTCCTACTTCTAGCAGGTCAATCAATGACACAACATGTCTGCAAATTCAAATTTGTTGTTCTGAGAATATCAGCCATGATAACTGAAAACCCTAGTCTCCTAATTACCTGATTCCATGCAGGGTTCTACCTAGACCTACGAAAGTGGGGGTCCAGGGGACCTTAATAAATATTTTTAAGGGTCCTTACCGGCAATATGAGGGGCCTGTACAGTAATGTAATGTTTTAGTGAACGGTACATTTAGGTGTAATTACTTCAGAGCCTGGCATGAATCAATGATCATGTGGACAGTGGTCATGATTGATGAACGAAATAACAGACACCTATAATATCTGCTCTTGATGCATTGTACACGATTGTAGGTACAATGAATATTATTGTGCATTCTTCTCTCTACATTTGTGCATCACATAAAACCCTGTAGGTGTCTAAACATACAACACCAAAGGTTACAATTCCTAAACCAAAACTGGAAACAGACAACAAAGTGTTATCCTTTCACAATGCTCCCCAAGCTTTGACGCTAAGTATTTTAACAGACTTCTCCACAAGCTGAAGTCAGGATCTAAATTATCACCGGATGTCACCATCAGCATCAGTGCAACATTAGATAAGACTTGATCCACCCAGTGCCAGAATCATTGAGAATGGCCCACTACACAAACTACATATGTTTCTGGTTTCTAGGAACGATCCTAATCTGGAGCCTCCAACCCATAAACCTTTCCTTGTCATTTTTCTCCAGTAGAACCATAGGTTTTATCACCATCAACTTGATCATGGTACCAGAGCTCCAGATAAGCTGCGTATCTGCGTAAAATATGCATCAGAAATGCAGAAATATGCAATAAAATAAAATCCAAGTGTATCAAATACGCAACGAACATTACAGATAAGCTACAAAAATATAACTTGTGCGTATCATCAAAATATTGTGAAGTAACCCTGCGTATTCGATTAGCAAATCAGCAACTTATTTTGAAATTATAAACGGGCATTTTGTCAACCTTGCCAAACTCCACGATGACAGTTACATCACGATCATTTGCCATCACTCTTTCTTGTGGAAGTATTGTGGTATTTTGTTGAGTCCTATAAAGCTCTCGAACCCACACAACACCAGTTTGCAGGGACTAGATGAATAGTGTTTTTAAATATTTAACTTAATTACCCACATGTGTAAAAACTAGTGGGTAACAGAAATTTGAATACCCAGATAGAATTACTGATACCCAATGATTTTAAAATGCATGGGTAAAATACCCACAACACCAAAAGCTTATCTGGAGCTCTGTGGTACTGTCCATGCCTAACATGTTCAACGCCATTAGCATAAACGTGTGCACCACCTGCCTAACTATTGATAATCAGTCCTTTATACATGCTAAAGAAAAGACAAAGTAAATAAATCATCTACCTACCTTATATTCAGGATATTTGGATATGCACAAACATGAAGCATGTGCAAATGTTTTACTCTTTTCTTTAACCTAAGCAGCCTCTGTTGCTATCTCATTCCCATCTAATTTTTAATACATTCTTAGTACCCTCTCAGCATGCTCAGTGTTCAACAACAAACATTCAAATTGTAGGCATTTCACTGGCATCTATTGTGAGAAAAAAACCAATACTAATGTTCTACCTTAAGCTCTTTGGCATCTATTGTGCCGGAGCCATCAGCATCAAACAGGTCAAATGCTTCTCTGATCTCCTGCTTCTGTTCCTCGGTTAGTTCCGGCTTGGGCCCCGCCTTCTTCCTGCCGCCACCAGCCAACGAGGTCTTCTTGTATGTTGCCTGCAGTGCAGAGTGAATATTTCTGTTACAATCCAACTTGTTGACTGTAAATTTAGTACTTACAGGTTCATAGCCACAAGTCTTTACACATCATCTACTGCACTGGAATGCGGTCTGTGCTAAAATCTTAGTCTTAACATGCTTAAGGTATTGGGCAAGTAGTTATCAAGGACTCCTTGGCAGAAAAACTGGGGAAAATATCTTTATTTTATTCAGTATTTGGATTTTAAAGTTCTTATTATTTTACCAAAGTATTCTCAACATTGCATTCATGTAAAAATCTAATACTAACCTTAAAAACATCTTCCTATATATATATACCATGTTTATTGGCCACATTATCATGGATTATAAGTCTCCCAAAACCGACAATGTTCTGACATATAACAGTTTGTGTGTAACATGGTTACGTACCAACTGCATTATGATGTTTGTTAAATTCACTGAAACTCAGTATTGGGATTTCAACCTCTATCATGTCGGTAATTAAAAATGCAAAGCCATCACAGCGCCTACAATTGCTCATAAACCATGTGGTTTAGTGATACTGAGTTGTTTTCAGTTGGTCACAGAAAAGGAAACTTTATTTCCAAGATTAAATAATTGAAAAATATCTTGAAAGCAAAGATTTGCATAATTATAACTTCATAGTGGCGGGTGCAGGCCAAAATGCCACTGATTTCTCGATGAAAAAGGCACTTCATTTGGAGAATATGGCTACTAATTGTCGGGCGAAAACAGCACCTCCATTTTTAAAAATGATATGAATGATTTATTATTTGTCTTCACAAGTGACCATGTGAGTTTAATTTCCTTTATTTCAGTACCAAGGTAAAGAAAATAAGGCGCCGTTTTTGCCAGGCAAAAGTAGCTGTTTTGGTGTTAGGCAAGTTGCTGTTTTTGCCAATCGGTGCTGTTTTGGCTCAGTTACGTTTTGCTGGTGTGCTGACTTAGCTATAACCTATAACATGTATAATGGTTCAGTTATGGACATACAAAAGTGCACACTTACATTTATGTTGTATCACCCTTTGGGTTCATCTATTTCTTATTATACGATTTCATATAAGAGAACAAAACTTGACTTTGCTATGGTACATGTACAGTTCTTATACCAATAACTAGGGCCTACATCCCCTCATCCCAAAAGGGAACTATTATTTCAAGGTACAAACTCAGTTCACAAGTCCTCTATGCATCACTTGTTCAGTAACATGTTAAGATAGTTACAAGGTTTTTTTTTCAACAAATTGTTAGAAATAATTATGAAGGAGCATTGTTTTGAAAAGTGTGCTATTTTGCGGCTCTAACATGTCCAACAAACCATTCAATGCCTTTAGACAAGCTGAGACATGAATTAGGCCTATTCGACAAGTTCATTAACAAACTACAAAATTTGATTCCACTAAACATTAACGACACGTATTATACTAAATCTATAGAGGCAGGACAACTAGATGGCGAACCATGATGAAGAACATTAACATATATGCTGGTAATGGACAGTATTGATCGGGTCGAAGCTATCTCGGTCTGACAGTTCCTTGCAAACAAATTCGAAATTTATGCCGAATAAATTCCCCAAATTACGGCTACGAATAACTGTCTTGATATTAATTTTGAAACGAAATATAAGCTTAATTCAGATAACACAAATGCAAAAGGCAATTGAACAATTTCAAGACTCGAATTAAGAATGTAAACAGGTATGTTACTTACCATGACTTCTGTTTTGTTGATCTTCGAGACGAACAGACCGCCTTGGTATCCCGGATATAAGGACCGACGTGATGCTTTCGTCGCAATTTGATTGGCCCATTTCTTTGAAAGACGAATACTATTCTGTTAACAACTAGTAACAATGTTCGCGTGTACCCTAGAAGATTCAGGTGGATACATTTTAATGTGACTTTCCATCAATGCACCGTTTTCAATTTTCAGTTGACATAACTAAGAAATAATTACTAAACGTGTATATACCGTAATTAACCCGATCCAAATAGCACAATCAACGTGAAAAAAGTCAATTTTTTAAACTTGGAAAACGAATAATGGATACTTGAGTGGTATCACTTTCAGAGAGAACATTTGAGGTAAAAAAGGACGATATATATATATATATATATATATATATATATATATATATATATATATATATATATATATAGTCACTTATACATACATACATACATACATACATACATACATACATACATACATACATACATACATACATACATACATACATACATAACTGAATTCATAACTGATTCAGTTATGGCCTGATGAGACTCGTACGTGGTACGAGTTGAAAGCGCTAGCCTATTAAAACTGTGTTCAATCTTACTCCACTTATTTAATTATTACTATTTTGTGCCTATGAGACATCTTTTTTGTTATGCCACCAGTTAAAAAAACCGTTTATTCATATATTTATAAATATTTATTCATATTTCACTTGCATCTCATTCTTATTTTTGTAGTCCTTATGCATGGTCTTATCACTGCTTTTTGTATACATGGTCTTATCTCTGCTTTTTGTATGTTCATAATTCGAACTTTTACGAAATGTACCACCATCGACGAAAATTGACTTTCATGCACTGTAAATTATACGTAATCGTTGATATTAATAAATTTAACATTTTAATCATGAAATAATCGTAACTTTGTAAGAAGTAATATGTTAGGTTGGGATTTATGTCAACGATAACCAATTTATAGTACTCATGAAAAAGCGCAATTAAACACCAGAAACGCCCACGCGTCGCCTGAAGACAGCAGATGCCCGTTTGGATCTGTTATTAGTTTGAAAGTTAGTACTGTCTATGTACAACGTTAGGTCCGCACAAGAAGGAATCACACAGCTCATTGGCTAAAACTCTTATCAACAAACAGTATGGCGGCTGCTTCACGGGTATGGGAAGTTTTCATGAATCATATGAACATTAATGCCGTTCCTAGTCCGTTCATGATTATATACCAAAATGACAACCGTTGTGTGTCCTAGTTTAGTGTGTAGCGATGTTGTTACTGCTCTCTAACCGCTGTTAAAATATTTTGCACTGTTCGAATTGCCTCATACGTTTGTAGCAGACGAATCTTTCTATCACATGTTCTTTTCTGATGCTATGATTGGTGAAACTGTCTCAGACGACATACATCATATCGAACCACTTTAAGAGTTTGAACTGAAAGAAGCTTGTAATTTCAGGGAATTGTGTTCAATGAGCAAACTAACAATAAAGACAAGGATTATTCAACATTGTTTCAAAACTGATTAAAGTTTTTTATCCTTCCAAGGCACAAGCAGAAATGAATAATTAGAATAGATCATTTTTAGGCAAATCGTGACATAGGACTCGGTTTTCGTTTATTTTTACATGCGTTTTAAAAGAACAGAATCATTACAAGAAAGGATGTCATGGTCTAACATTAACATCCATGATTACAGCATTATCCTACAGTAATACTATACATGAAGGAAAACTGGTGAAAAGAATTGAAACATGCCCAGTAAAGTTCACTGTGGTCTGATACCCTAATCTTCTTCTGAAGCACTAATGCAAAACACACAACCTCGACCTTTAGTCTCAACCTAAACTGAAAGTTTGTCACAAGACTATGGAACCTACAGACAGATTGTATTGGACAACCAACCTATTTACTGCTGATTCCATCAGTTGTCAGTGCTACTCTAGTGGAATCACTCATAAAATCTCTGTTGTAGTTAATAGTAATGCATTAATGTATAACATCCTGGTTGCTTGTTTTGGGGTTAAATAAAACAGTAACTCACTCACCCCTCGACCTGTATATAGTGTCTATTCGTTATGGAGATTTTATGAGTATTTCTCATAAGCTACAGGAACATTTGATACATATACATGTTCACACATATTTCGCTTGTATATTGTTTAATGCCTTACTTAGCAATGTTCAAACTATGTCAGAGTAGCCTGTAAAAAATCCAGTCTGGGCCAGGCAAACCATTGATTGAATAAATTCCAACTTAGAGTCCACATGGGGGTGATTATTATGGGTGATTATTATTGTCAGCACTCTTATAAAAAAAAATTGAATAATATCTGTTTGAAATTTGTACTCTATCAGTTATTTCAGTAAATGTATATTTTTCCATCTAAGAAGAATGATGTGTGAATAGCAGTCCCATGTCAAATATGAGGTGTATGGCTTTTTGGTATTTTTAATCAGCTCTTGTAGCATCTTACTCTCTCTAAAGTCATCCCTCTTATAGTTGATAGGGGATACACATTATGAAAATGTACGGTACTTGAAATAATTGTTTTGAAATGGAATTTGATGAACAGAATTAATACTTAACCTTAAGACTGTGTTGGTATAAGATATGAAAGTAATTGTAAGTTGTAATTTGTCATTTTATGTTTTCATTGCAGGCAGAAATATTTTGATTTGTTTCAGAACAAGACATGTTTGGTAATTGGAGGGTGTGGTTTCCTTGGCCGCCATCTCTGTGATGAGCTCCTTAAGCGTGGCTATTCTTGTCGTGTATTTGATGTAAGGAAAACCTTTGATGATGACAGAATCAAATTCTTCACAGGAGATCTATGTAACGAACAAGTAAGTCACATATCATAACCTAATAAAGGACCTGTAATTTTTGTGCCTATTTTATGCATGTTCCCTATTCAATTTTGTTATCACTCAACTGTATTACAATATCAGAGTGTTCAAAATAGCTTCCTGCTCATTGTTCTGGGGACAGTTGATTGTGAGACAGTGACATAACCCTTCAAGCCTGTCCTCTTGAATATATGATCTGCAACACAACAATTATTCACAGGGTACAGTTTCATTCTGTTTTACCACATGCACCAGGTGCAACCAAGTGAATTAATCAGGTTGCACCACCAAAATATTGGCTGCTCCATTTCCTCATAAATTGAAACACTCTATTTTTAGTTATTTTGAATATTAAATATAATCAAAGAGACATTCTAAAGGATTTGCAGACAGTTCTATAAAAAAAATCAGTTTTCGGCTTTTAGGAAATATAACGGCTGCCATGCACTTGTGGTGAGAGATGTTACCTGCACTGGATGCAACCTGGCAATAAAAGTTACTTGCACTGCAGGGGCGGTTGGGTAGCCCAGTGGTTAAAGCGTTCGCTTGTCACGCCGAAGACCCGGGTTCGAATCCCGACATGGGTACAATGTGTGAAGCCCATTTCTGGTGTCCCCCGCCGTGATATTGCTGGAATATTGCTAAAAGCGGCATAAAACCATACTCACTCACTACTTGCATTGCACTAGCAATGTTTTACCTGCACTTGTGCAGCTTGGATATAGTGAAATCGATCAGTTTATTCATTACATTCAAAATTAATAGAATATTTTCATACATCAATGGAGTGTTTGCCTACTGGGTTAAAATGATCACATGGGTGCAATGAGTGAAGCACCAGTCATGACACTGAGAAAAGCGATGTAAAACCTCAGTCACTATGTATCAATATCAAAATTGCAGTAAGACAAGAAGTTTGACAACTCAGTCATTGTTGCCTTGTAATGTCAAATTGAGGAAGTACAACTGAAGAGCTTAAAAAAAACCAACAGGTAAAGTCATTATAGGTTGGAATATAAACCACAATGTAATATTTTCAGAAGAAAGAATAAATTTTGATCTTAATTGAAACTTTCCCAGTTTTACAAATACTCCTTACATGGTTAGAACACTGACATAACTTTCCTTATTCCTTGTTATTTATTTATGTGACATGTTTGATTATTGTATGTTAGGATTTGCAACCAGCTTTGAAGGGTGTCAGCTGTGTGTTCCATTGTGCCTCTCCAGCGCCCTCTAGTGACAACAAGGCCCTCTTCTACAAAGTCAACTTTCAGGGAACGAAAGTTGTCATAGCAACTTGCAAGAAAGAGGGTGTGAAGGTAAATCAGCATTGCCTGGATTTTATATATTTTTTGTAAGAATTCAAGCGTTCAAGGTTTGGAATTTGAAATGACCTATGTTGGCATCTGAGCCCCATTTAACAAGTGATCTTATGGAGCTACAACTGCTGTAAGTCTATGTTATAGCATGGAAGTTACGATTGTTTTAGTACTAAGATCACTCTATGGTATGTATGTGCTAGTCCAATAATAATAGAACTATATTAACTGTTTAACTAAGGATGATTCCCTTAATTTACAGCATAAACAACAAGCTAAGTCTTTGTATTGTTGTTAATGTGTGAGGAATTGTAAAGTCATTAAGTAGAAAGGGACATAATTCTGCCAGTACTGTTTACATCTGACTGTGGTGGTAGAGTCTGTGAACTGCCAGTGTAACAGTATGCTGGAGCCTTGCAATGTACATACACGGATAACATAACAGATTACTTTTGTTACAAATATTTGCTAGCTGAGAGAGTAAGCTACATTTTGCTTCATTCCAATACAGTAAAGTCTAATTGGTTTCCAGAAATGTACTAATTACATCTGCAGGGATAAGTCTTGATGAGTGTATGCAGTAAATTTAGAATATTTTTTAACAATCATAAAAAAATAAATCTTTAGAATAAATAGACTGTATTGTATGGGATGCTGATTTTGCATGTTTTAACAGTAATCTTGGTGTAATTGAGGACGAGTATCATGTATTATTGACAAAAAGTGGTCACATGTACATACATATGTTATATTTGGGATTAAACTTTCTTAGCAATTAGTTTAGCAAATATTTAACTATAATAGTTCAGGACAAAAAGCGCCTGGTGTTGACAAGTAGTGCCAGTGTGGTGTATGTTGATGTATTTCTGCCTAGCGCCTGGTGTTGACAAGCAGTGCCAGTGTGGTGTATGTTGATGTATTTCTGCCCAGTGCATGGTGTTGACAAGCAGTGCCAGTGTGGTGTATGTTGATGTATTTCTGACCAGAGCCTGGTGTTGACAAGCAGTGCCAGTGTGGTGTATGTTGATGTATTTCTGCCCAGCGCCTGGTGTTGACAAGCAGTGCCAGGGTGGTATATGTTGATGTATTTCTGCCCAGCGCCTGGTGTTGACAAGCAGTGCCAGTGTGGTATATGTTGATGTATTTCTGCCCAGCGCCTGGTGTTGACAAGCAGTGCCAGTGTGGAATATGTTGATGTATTTCTGCCCAGCGCTTTAATGTTGACAAGCAGTGCCAATGTGGTACATGTTGATGTATTTCTGCCCAGCACCTGGTGTTGACAAGCAGTGCCAGTGTGGTATGTATTGATGTATTTCTGCCCAGCGCCTGGTGTTAACAAGCAGTGCCAGTGTGGTGTATGAGGGAAAGGATATAAAGAATGGTCGAGAAGATCTTCCGTATGCTGCCAAACCCATTGACTACTACACAGAAACCAAAATATTGCAGGAAAAGGTAAGTAGGTTTTGATTTTGTTCAACTTATTCTTCAAAATCTCTATGTCTTTGTTCAGACCCCTGCTTCACATCCTCATGTCCTTGTTCAGATCCCTGCTTCACATCCTCATGTCCTTGTTCAGATCCCTGCTTCACATCCTCATGTCCTTGTTCAGATCCCTGCTTCACATCCTCATGTCCTTGTTCAGATCCCTGCTTCACATCCTCATGTCCTTGTTCAGACCCCTGCTACACATCCTCATGTCTTTGTTCAGACCCCTGCTACACATCCTCATGTCCTTGTTCAGATCTCTGCTTCACATCTCATGTCTTGTTCAGATCTCTGCTTCACATCTCATGTCGGGACCTGAACAGAATAGTTCCCTTGTATCACCATGATCACAAGTTTCTCGAGTTATTGCCGTGAGTTGTGATGGATTGATTTTCAGGTTATTACTGTTAGGAGAATTTGTTGAGCAGAGTTGCATCCCTTAGGCATGCCACAATCCCATGATCATTGGTTCAGAAATCAGAATCCCCTTGATTCAGAGTCCTGGTGTAACAGTGCCCTTGTAGCCCTGATTATCATCTGTGACCTTTAGTTTAAATGAAGTGACATAACTGAAATACTGTTCAAAGCAGTAGTTAAACCAATTTCCCTCACTCTTTCATTCACTATGTGAAGAGAATTGGTCTTCAGCAACCCATGCTTGTTGTAAGAGTCGACTTACAGGATCAGGTGGTCTGGCTCACTGACTTGGTTGATGCATGTCTTTCGTATCCCAACTGCATAGTTATTCTCTCATGATGTCAATCACTGGATTGTGTGGTCCAGATATGATTATTTAGCCACTGCTGTCATATTGCTGGAGTGTTGCATACAACAAACACACAAACAAACACTCATGTATTTTATGACAACACCTGGTGTATGAACATACTGAATAATAATTCAGTGCAAGTTTAAATGTTATTCAGTGTCCAGACTATGTACCACCAATAAAGTAGAAAGATCTAGTGTAATAATTTTCAATTAACCCTTTCTTAGTGCTGAATTATCAGTTGCAGTGGTGTTACATCATGGTGATTCAGTGTTGAGAGCAATACGATATGACGTCATCCATTGTTCATGGCGTCACAAATGGATTACATAAGAATTTGATAATGATCTGACTTCTGTGAAGTTTCTCTATTGGATTGACATTTTGTATTTTTTTCCTAATGAGAAATATATAGAATAACCTCAAAACTTTTGTTCTGGATGACATATCAAGCCAGTTTATTTGTGTCAAGATGGCTTCAACAGCTTTAAAAACTAACATTTTAGTCCACTAGTCCTTTTAATGATAACATATAGCAAAACCCTTAAACATGTTAAACATGGCAATTTTATTTTATTTTTTTAGTCCTGATGATATCTTAACTATTAGGCAGTGTATAGGACTGGTACCAATTTCTATCGCTGCCTCAGTGATACAGGCAACAGTGGGGCAACATTCTAAAATTAACTAATCAGAATGTGATGTCAGGCTTCAATCTGAGTTTTCAGATGACCCCCACTGATGCAATGGCAATTCTCTCTACTGCCATGCTCCCCTCCATGACATGTGACAAATGCTGGACATCAAAATGTCATGGTTTCATTTATACTAATCTACCTGGGTACAGGGTATATATTAACATTGATTGGCAATATTACATTTTACCAGATATTTCTATTTTATTAGATATATTGCAATACATTTGTGCCAATTGCAGGCAAACAGAATACTATTGTGACGACTTGTCAAAAACTGGAAATTGGGTTAAGCTTTGTGTTGGCCACTGAGAACCAAGCTCTTTCTTAACTCACCCATCATCGATTATCCAGGGTATTGTCTTCATTCTATTTAGATAAATACCCTGGACCCATTTCTACTATTCCTTTGTTTTGAATCAGATACAAAGAAGACAATCCTGAAAATAGCAGTCCAATCAAATTACTCTCCCGAATGAATGAAATTCAGTGCTTAGTTAGAAACAGGAGCGAGTATGGTCTTCAACCCAGGATGGCCAGACCTACCGTTAAGCAGCGTATTTGCGATAAATAACCCCCCAAAATATTCAAAACTCAATTACTTTCAATTAACTTCGTACAGAAATGCATACATTAAATGAAGAACTCAAATTATATAAACAGTTCACGTAAATACCCAATGAAGCTTTTTCAGCATGCATGCAAAGGAGATAATTTCCGGAAAAAAATTACGAGCTAATTCATTTTCCGAGTCAAGCTTATATATTTAGAACAGTTATATACATCTAAAGCATTATTTCATTTTTTTTAAATCTTAAAATGTTAACTTATTTTGGGAAAACCCCCGATAGAATGCTGATTAGATGAGTGAAAAAGTATTGGTTACCCAATGAAAAATGTAATAACCCAATTAAAATAGAAACCCTAAAGTAAAAACTCAATTGCTCAAAAAGTTGTCTGGCGCTCTGGATGACCTTGCATTGGTCGTTTTCTTCAACCCAGGATGTAGCTCACCCCGCTCAACCATCACCTGGCTCCACTAGTGTGTCACCACTCTTCCCAATAGTGTAGGCCTTGCATTGGTCGTCTCCTTCAACCCAGGATGTAGCTCACCCCACTCAACCATCACCTGGCTCCACTAGTGTGTCACCACTCTTCCCAATAGTGTAGGCCTTGCATTGGTCGTCGCCTTCAACCCAGGATGTAGCTCACCCCACTCAACCATCACCTGGCTCCACTAGTGTGTCACCACTCTTCCCAATAGTGTAGGCCTGGCATTAGTCGTCTTCTTCAACCCAGGATGTAGCTCACCCTCTAGAACCTGGCTCCACTTGTGTGTCACCACTCTTCCCAATAGTGTAGGCCTTGCATTAGTCGTCTTCTTCAACCCAGAATGTAGCTCACCCTCTAGAACCTGGCTCCACTTGTGTGTCACCACTCTTCCCAGTAGTGTAGGCCTTGCATTGGTCGTCTTCTTCAACCCAGGATGTAGCTAACCACGCTCAACCATCACTTGTGTGTCACCACTCTTCCCAATAGTGTAGCCTTGCATTAGTCATCTTCTTCAACCCAGGATGTAGCTCACCCTCTAGAACCTGGCTCCACTTGTGTGTCACCACTCTTCCCAGTAGTGTAGGCCTTGCATTGGTCGTCTCCTTTAACCCAGGCTACCCACACTGTTGTTGCTTTCGCATTGCCGACAGAAGCTTAAAATATCAATAGACTTGCATACTCCCAAACTCACAGGGGGTTCTAGGTATGTTTTTCAGGAAATTGGTATTACCAAAGTGTATATTTATTCGTGATGGAAAACTAAGCATTAATAAATTGTTAGAGGTTTGGATGTTTGCCTAAGTATGAAAAATAGATTTTTAAAATATCAAAATTAATCCTGACTACCTTTTTACTACTGCTATATCTTCCATGAAGAACAATGTTTTTTATTTTGAAGTCATGACGTTTCACTTGTTAAGGACCCTTTCCTGAAACATTTTTATCAGGAGTTTGATAAAACTTTATATTTTTTATATGATGAAAGGGAGCCATTGTCTACTATTTGCTCCTATAATCAGTGGGTGTCTGCTGAGATTAAATTCTTTAAGTTAAGAGACATTCTCTCTTTGAGGTCCATTCTTAAACTGTTTGGGGGTAATGCGAGGGTGATACTCTTAAGTAGAAAAAGGAATAAACCTGACATTAAAATAACAGTACTGTTTATACATGGTGAAAATTAAGCCTACTTCCTGAAACAAGAGCGTGGTGTAAAAACGTGACTGAACAGTCAACTGACTGTGTTTAGTGGACTAAATCACACTGCTTCATGGATTTTTCAAATGCCTACTTTCTGGCGACCAGTTGTCGGCGAGGACCAATTCTCATCAACTCTCCATTATTGCTTGCAGATGATCGCATTTCGGTTTACTTTTGCTCTTTATCATTAGAAGAGAAAAAATATGTATCCAAAATTGATGAACAAAACTGACTCTTGTCAAGAAATATTAAAAAAAGACAACCATATAATCACCTTGCTTAAATACAACTGTAGAAGAGGCACGCGGGCGGTGTCATGTGACTAATTCACACGTAAAGGAAAATCCAACAATAATATGATAAACATTCAGTTTTGTCATAGCTTACCATCTGTCTGTCATTTCTTCCCCAAATTACTCTAACACCTTTTTGAGCTATTTTTCCAAAAATGCATAACCCTGTATATATCGCGAAAATCCATCGTTCATAGTGTTGAGGATAAGCATGTGTAGATCGAATTTTGGGAATATTTGTGGACATCAGTTTTGCAGACAACACATTGATAAAAGCATTTCTTATTAATTGTAATGAATATAAAAAGTAAGTGCGGTACCAGAGAAAACTGAGTGAGTGAGTAAGGTTTTACACCGCTTTTAGCAATATTCCAGCAATATCACGGCGGGGGACACCAGAAATGGGCTTCACACATTGTACCCATGTCGGGAATCGAACCCGGGTCTTCGGCGTGACGAGCGAACGCTTGAACCACAAGGCTACCCGACCGCCCCCCGAGAAAATTGAAAATATAACTTGTATAACTGAAATGGTGTGCGTGATCTTGTGGGATGTGCTGTTTAGATTATGGTGATAACAGTTGGTCAAAGGAAAAATCTACTGAAACTTTTTCATCAGACAGAAATATGTGCATTTGCTGATAGTTTTACACAAATCAAAGTTATCGGCACAGTTAACCTTGTCCATGGAATCTTCTAGAAATAACATGAAAAAAATGGCGACAACTGGTCAGTGACCAGTACTCTTTCCTGCAAGTTTGAAATGACTAGATGTGTAATTGAATTAGATAAGGTGCCTGTCATTTTTATTGGTCTTAGGACTGTATCATATTTATCTGACCATCCTCCATTTTATGTTCATATTTTTACATATTGATATTTAATGTTGATAGTTGTTACAATTACAGGGTTTATTTTTATAAAACACTTTGAAATGGAATGTTTAGTGTGTATAGAACA